GTGAATTCTTACACTACATTTGTATTCTCCACAACGCCGCCGATGATACCGTTGCCCTGATGGGGGGGGGGGGGGGGGCTTCCTTCTCAGTCAACATAATGCCCGTGACTCACGCACCTTCTCAAATTCACGTCTTCCTTTACGGGGAGGTGGGGTGGGGTGGTGGGTTAAACTAAACTATTTAAAAACTACTAAACTATTTTTTTATGTCACCAGGCAAGGCAGACTGAGCTATACAGCTCTTTTTCCGAAACTACCTGGCCACAAATGATAGCCCAACAAAGGGGCTCTTCACGTGGAAATGTATCGCAACCAAATAGTCAAAACGCATGTTCATGACAAAGGTGGAGAGAAAAAACCGAAGGACCCGAAAAAAAATCCACGCGACCGTGGGGAGAGATACACGCAAACTCCAAATGTACAGCAGGCGTCAGAATCGGGATCGAACCCACGACCTCCTGTATACCAGGCGAGGTAGTTAACATCTAGCCACCGTGATGATGATGATGAGAGAGAGAGAGACACGAAAACTCCAAATGTACAGCAGGCGTCATGATCGGGATCGAACCCACGACCTCCTGTATACCAGGCGAGGTAGTTAACATCTAGCCACCGTGATGATGGTGAGAGAGAGACACGCAAACTCCAAATATACAACAGGCGTCAGGATCGGGTTCGAACCCATGACCTCCTGTATACCAGGCGAGGTAGTTAACATATCCTAGCCACCGTGATGATGATGAGAGAGAGAGAGACACGCAAACTCCAAATATACAGCAGCAGGCGTCAGGATCGGGATCAAACCCACGACCTCCTGTACACCAGGCGAGGTAGTTAACATCTCCCCACCGCGGCGGCTCCAATAATGGGGGGGGGGGGGGGGTGTAGCCCCCCCTCTGACCCCCCCACCCCGCACAGCACGCACAGCAGGCGTGGTTCTTCCCCAGGGTGTGGCGCTCCGGGTTCGAGTCCTCGCCCAGCGGGTTAATGATTAGCAGCGGACTCTGAGCGCGGTCCGGCCGCGTGCTCGACCCTTGGCACGCGAACAGTCACCGCCCCCCCCCCCCAGTCCCCCCCCCCCCGCCGGGAAGGGGGGGGGCTGTGGTGGGGGGGGGGGCTGCGGGAGATAGAGAGGGTGGGGGTTTCGCAAGAGGTCGGGGGTCACGTGTGGGGGCGGGAGGGGGGTCAGAGGAAAACGTGACTAAGCACTTTGTAGCGACCGCATATTTACAAAGACAAAGATCCCCCGTATAGCCGTAACAGACTGTTGGGGCAAGTGCTGTTAGCGAGCACCTATGAAGGTCGGAAAGGTACAAGATCACGCCTGGCCGCCCTTTTATCGAAAGTGTCGATGTTCACACACCACACCAGGTACAATTTTTTTGTTAGCTGAGTCGACCTAGGGGAGGACCAGAACCGGTTCAAATAATCGTCACTGTTGTTGGTCGTGAGCGGGAATTGAACTTGGGTCGCCGGGTGTGTAGCGCAGCGCGTTCAACGCTAAACTACACGTGGGTAGACACACACGTGGGTAGACACACACGTGGGTGTACACACACGTGGGTAGACACACACGTGGGTAGACACACACGTGGGTAGACACACACGTGTGGGTACATGCACATACCAAGCCAAGATGGAACGTTGCTCCAACGTTGGCATGATGATTGGAACCATTCGCCCAACGTTCCATGTTTTCTCTGTATGCACATACATGTGGGTACACACACGTGGGTACATGCAATTGGGGGCGTATACCCGCCCCCTCCCCTCATCACCCGCTTCCTCCCCTCGTCCCCGTCTGACAACGCCAACGAACCCTAAACTCCCTCTCGCCTCTCCCTCCCTCCCTGCCTCCCTCCATCCCTCCCTGCCTCCATCTCCATCCCTCCCTGCCTTCATCTCCATCTCCCTTCCCTCTCTCCCTCCTACTCTCCCACCCTTCCTTCCCTATCTGCCTCCCTCCCCTCTCGATCTGCCTCCCCTCCCCTCCCCCTCTCCCCCATCCCCCTCTCCCTGCCACCACTTTAATTCAGCAATTAACTTGAGCCGGGAGCTTCTGGGAATTCCGTGTAAGCACTGGGAGGGTGGGAGAGAAGGGGGGGGGGGTCTCCTCCTGTCTCCCCTGCCCCAACATAAAAAACACACTGCCTCCTCCGCCACACACCAAACACACAAAATACAAAGATCCCCCGTATAGCCTTAACAGACTGTTGGGCCAAGTGCTGTTAGCGAGCACCCAATGAAGGCCAGCACGGCACACTAGGGGGTGGGTGGCCAGCACCACACCCGACCGCCTTTGTCTCCCCAGTGACGATGTTTACACACCGCACCAGGTACTCATTCGGAGGCTGAGTCGACCTAGGGGAGACCCAAGACCGGTTCAGATAATCGTCACTGGGCGTTGGCCATTAAGCGGGTTCGCAAGCGCAGCGCGCTAACCGCCACACCACCGCTCCCCACATCACACGCGGGCATCTTGAGCCCACGAGATTTCTCCCTCTCCCATCATCCCTCGTCAGCGCAGAGATTCCTTCAAGGAAAGAGGTGGGGGGGGGGGGGCACGTGTGCTACTCGCTAACAGCACTTGCCCAAAGACTCTGCGAGTGCTATAAGGAGATGAATCTTCTTGTCTTTGTTGATGCGAGTGATTTCGGGAAGCGGCGATGCGTAACCCGGGCCACCCGAGTTCGATTCCCGCTCACCGCCAACGCCAGTGGCTGCACCTGGACCTCCCCTAGGTCGACTCAGCCCCAAATACGCACCTGGTGCGATGTGTAAACATCGTAGCGAAGGGAGACAAAGGCGGCCCGCCGGGAGTGTAGCTGGCTACTCGCCCCTTGTGTGCTGTGTCGGCCTTCCTAGGTGCTCCTCGCTCACAACACCTGCCCCAAAAGTCTGTTGATGGGCTGTCAGGGGGACCTTTGTCTTTGTCGAAGGGCCATGTACAGTACGTGGGGGGTTGACGTGGATGGGTGATGCAACAAATACTACACTGCGCTACTGAAGTTAGCCTGATAACTTTAATCTAAGTTGTTTTATGGTTGTTATTGTTTGACTTGCATCCCACTGGGATTTCTGCACACAGCGTTGAAACGCGGTGTTTTTTTTCTTCTGGAAGACTTTGCTGTTTTTTTTTACCCTGGATTTTCCTGTTGCGTGTAGTCACTTGAAGATGTTTCTTGTTCATGTTTTTATTTGTTGCGGTTGCACCCGAGTCAAGAGCCGCATGGCTCACAGGGTTATATCTAATAAATGAAACTGAAACAAAACTGAAACGAACCCGGCCCCCGAAACGAGTTTGATTCCGGGCCAAGGTTAACATCAGTGTGGTGAGTGATATCTGAGCATCATAATGTGTTAATGTGTGTAGGGGATGCTGTCAATTAGACTCGCGTGCCCTCCACGACCCGAGGAATCAACATCGTCCCGTGGATACGAGGCGTGCCGATTGATCTTTGTTTCTCAGCAACACCGGTTACGGTCATAATATAGTTTTTTTTAAGTTGTTTACATCGCGAAAATATATATAAAACCACGAAGAAATCCTATATTATGGATATTAGTCGCGAAAGTTGAAAACGTCGAGCGGAATTTTGAGTCGAATTCTGGCTCCGCTTTCTCAGCAACGTCAGCGGGGTTGGAGAGACGCAACGAACGCGCGTGCTGAACTTCTTTCGCGCCGTACGTCGCCCAACCTAATTAGCGCGTCGTTGGCGGATGGTGGAGGGGCGGACGACTCATTGACAGAAATGCCCCACACAACCAGGCTCGACACGAAGCGATTGAAAATCTGAATGTTGGTTGTAAAAAAAAAACCTCCGTATATTAAGAAAGACTGCATATGCAGGGGTGGTCAAAATGTCAGGACACGGAGCTATTTTAGGAATTTTAACAAATCACATAAAGTGACTTCATTTATTTTAGCAAATGTCCAACGATTTCCATTGACACTAATGCACGAATTGAATGCATTTTTTACTTTTTTTTACTGGGTGCAATTGTGAAAAAACAGTCACGTCAGACATGAGCACATCGAATCGGCATAACCATTGGTTCACTGCATGCTCAAAGACTCACTCGTGGGTGAGGTGAGGTTAGATGCCCACGTGCTCGGCATTTGAAGGCGTGGAAACCAGACCCCCGTGATTTTGCCGACTGCGTTCAGGGAGGCAATTTCATATCCAGATAGCTGAGTGAAGAAGAAGGGAGTTATTCATAATAAAGTTTTTTTTGGGTTACATCGCGTAAATATAAATGTGTCGTTACCCTCCACCACCCGACACAGTCAATTAGTACGGGATGTGTCACGTTACGCCTTTTGGCGTCATCTGGTTCAACCCATGTGAGACTAGGCTCTAAGGCAGTGGTCGGGAACCTATGGCTCGCGAGCCATATATGGCTCTTCCAGTGACGGCATATGGCTCCCAGACAATTTTGAGTTGAAAAAAATAATAATAATAAAATAATAAAAAAATCAGTTTGGAACTGATTTTAAAATACTTGTGATATTGTTTAATACTATTGTGTCATTTTAAAGTAAACAGAAATTAGTTTTGAAGATAAATTTCACGGGTCACGCCTGCACGAAGCTCAACCTCACCACGTATGAACCAGACTACAAGGCCATCAGCAAAACCATGCAGCACCAGAAGTCGCATTAAAAGTAAGATATATTTAATTTATTATACGTTAAAAATACTATATGGCTCTCAATGAAATATATTTAGAAATATTTGGCTTTTATGGCTCTCCCAGTCAAAAAGCTTCCCGACCCCTGCTCTAAGGAAAGCTGTCTCGGGTGTGGACCAATCAACTTCAAGGACAGTGCATACATTATCAGAGTTGTGTTTTTTGTTTGCATTACGACCGCAGGTATTGTGGTCTATGCAAACATGACTCCTCGTAAAAAAAGGTGTCAGTTTTGTTGCCAGATACAAGGGTAAAAAAACAATTATCAAGGATCACTTAGTCACACAACACAGACATCACGACTTAGCGACTAATCCACTCCAGTCCCGAGTCTTTATTTATTTATTAATGTGCACGTGTGTGCGTGCGCGCGTGTATATTACATACAAAGACAAATATCCCCCGTGTAGCCTACGCAGGTTGTTAGGGCAAAGTGGTGTTCGCGAGCCGCCGCCGCCGCCGTCTATCGTTTTCGCAAATCCGTCACGAATCCCGCGGACTGAATTATATTCCAGGCCACGGCTGGCATCGGTGGCGAGTGATATCGGCACCTGTCCAGGACCTCCCCTAGGTTTACTCGGCATTTAACCGACTACTCGGTGCCGCGTGCGCCCATCGGCGGATGGGTCGCGCGCAGAGGTCGCAAACGGGTTTTGATTCCGTACCCGGCCGCAACCAAGGTCGCAAATGGGTACCCGTACCCGGCCGGGAACGGGTAACCGGGTATCGGGTAGGGTACGGGTATCGGGTACCCGGTTGCGACCTCTGGCCGCGCGTGGTGCTGATCACACACCGCCCTCTCGCGTGTGACACTCCGGCACTCGAATACGGGCTCGGCAAACAGCACTCGTCCCCGAAAAGGATGTTAGGCTACACGGGTAAAATAATCATCGTCTCTTTTTGTACATTACAAACATTTAATTCAAGAGGCAAGCAAGGAATGGCGGCTCACATCACCGCTCGTGTTCATTTGCTCGGTGGGTTTTGCCGCAGCAGCATTCGCGAAGGCAGTATCATCATCATCAGCAGCTGCAGCATAATCAGCAGCAGCAGCAGTGCTATGCGGAGACCGCTGCCCTTTAACACATTGTGAGCTGGAGCTATGACTGCCAAAGTGAGAAGCAATCAAGAGTGAAAGGGAGGCGTGGAGTTGATACACTTGGCGATGGTGGCGGTCGCGTTCAGAGACAAATTGTGGCATTAGGATTTGGGTAGGGATAGTGTCTGGTTAGCTCGTTGCGGTTAAGGGGTAGATCGAGGGCTGAGGTTATGTTGGATAGTGTGGTTAGGATTTAGGTCTGATTGACCAATGTTGCTAGACTTAGGGCTGGGGTTATGTTGGATAGTGTGGTTAGGGTTCAGGTCTGATTGACCAATGTTGCTAGACTTAGGGATGGGGTTATGTTGGATAGTGTGGTTAGGATTTAGGTCTGATTGACCAATGTTGCTAGACTTAGGGATGGGGTTATGCTGGATAGTGTGGTTAGGGTTCAGGTCTGATTGACCAATGTTGCTCGACTTAGTGCTGGGGTTATGTTGGATAGTGTGGTTAGGGTTCAGGTCTGATTGACCAATGTTGCTGGGGTTATAGGGATCGAGTCTGCTTGACAAGTGCGGCTCGGGTCATGGTCGCTATGTTGTAAAGTTCGTCTCGAGTTCGGGCTGTGCTCCCCATGGCGAACGAGGCTAGGGGGTCCAGTTCGGGCGATGGATCCGATTGGCTCGCCCCCTTCGCACCACGGCCACCTCCTCCTGCCCGTGCCCAGAGACCCCCACCCCGTTCCACTTTCGGACTCCCTCTTCAATGTTGGCCTCACAGCGCCACTTACCGATGCACAGCCAGACCGGGAACCCACCGGCGGTCCCACCAACAACGCCAGACCGAAGCTCGCTTTAAATGGCACACGATGGCTGAGAAGACAACACTGCCTCGTGACGTCACGAGGTCTTTAACATCTGTCTCGCTGGCAGACGACGGCGCTTTTTTGGTGACTTCGTCAAAACAAACCGAAACCCGAGTCGAACTTTGTCGCGAGAGGTCTCCGACCAAATTGGACGCGGCAACACTGGAAGAGAACAGCGCTGAGGTTGGTGCTCGGAGAGGAACGATTTGATTGGGGGCCCGCACGCGGTGCTCGAGATCCAGACACGAGCCCAGGCATCAACCAGAGCCCAGCCGTAGTCCCTAACCACACTGACCAATCAGAGTCATAGTCCTAACCACACTGACCAATCAGAGTCATAGTCCTAACCACACTGACCAATCAGAGCCATAGTCCTAACCACACTGACCAATCAGAGCCATAGTCCTAACCACACTGACCAATCAGAGCCATAGTCCTAACCTCACTGACCAACCAGAGCCATAGTCCTAACCACACTGACCAATCAGAGCCGTAGTCCTAACCATACTGACCAGTCCCCAGCCATAGTCCTAACCACACTGACCAACCAGAGCCATAGTCCTAACCATACTGACCAATCAGAGCCAGCCATAGTCCTAACCACACTGACCAATCAGAGCCATAGTCCTAACCACACTGACCAATCAGACTCCAGCCATAGTCCTAACCACACTGACCAACCAGTCCCCAGCCATAGTCCTAACCACACTGACCAATCAGAGCCAAAGCCCTAACCACACTCACCAACTGGACCCCAACTGTAGCCCTCACTCGATTGACACTGGCTAATCAGACCGCAGCCGTAGCCCTAACCATCACCAGACTAGCCAAGCTCAGCCCCAATTATATTGACACTCGTGAACCAGACCCTAACCCTGAACCCAACCACGCTAGCCAACCAGACCCGAACCTAAACCCCAATGGCACTAATGGTCTAGACCAGAACCCCAACTACACAAGCCAACCAGAGCCCAACCCCAACCACACGAACGTATATGCCCTAACTGGCCATCTGACACTAAACCTCTACCCCTAACCCCAACCTCCATCGTAATCATCATTGTCATCTCGCCGCCTCTGCTTTCATAAAAAAAAATCCGATTCTCGATTTCCCCAGGTCGGTGGAGAGGCGCGGCGGTGTCGTTATGGCACACAGTGAGAAAACAGCAAATAATAATAACAAACGAAACAAAATAATAACACATTCAATTAGCATCTAAATACATCAAAAGCTTCACAAGATGCTGTGTACAAGACGCGGTCAAACTCGCGATGAGGACGTCCACTTTTTTTCTGAGACTCCACGAGCTCACGCCACTTTCACCCCCTTTTTCCACTGCCACATCTGAGCCGAGCTAGCGCGGACCCCTTCTCGGGACGGGTCGTTTCCCACCGGCTATTTGCCGTGTCAAACCGGAACCGTGCTACACGGGTCTCAGAAATCATCCGACTGTGGGTACGGGGCCAAGCAGGGCCAGGTGCAGGGCTAATCATCCGACTGTGGGTCGGGGCCAAGCAGGGCCAGGTGCAGGGCTAATCATCCGACTGTGGGTTGGATGATTTTTTTTACCAGGTAAGGCTCACTGAGCGAAATATCATTTTTTTTATCGACCTGGCCACAAATCATAAATCAACGAAGTCGCTCATCACGTGGAAAGTTATAGCAGCCAAAAATGCTCTAAACGCATGTTGATTCTAAATGTGGAGGGGAAAAAACCAGAGGACCCGGATAAAAATTCACGTGACCATGGAGAGAGAGAGACACGCAAAATCCAAATATACAGCAGCAGGCGTTAAGGGTCGGGATCGAACCCACAATCTCCTCCATACCAGGCGCAGGAGTTAACATCTCGCCGCCATGATCGTCACGTGCGCCGACCGCGTGTCTGGACTCGTTCGTTCGTCGGCGGCGGCGCCGAGACCTCGAGTCTCGGGTTCCCGTAGTGGGGAAAAAACGACAGCGCATTAGTTTGGCTTTGCATGGTAGGTTGGGGATGGTTTAGTTTTAATTGTATGTTTTTGGGTCATTTGTATTTCCTGTACTTTGCCCCCCCTCCTATCGTATTTTTTTTTGTTTTGTTTGGAGTTGGAACGTTATCACCCGCCACTACTACACATCTGTGAAAAAGAGCTTTATAGCGCATCGGATTCTTCCAGTACAAAAAAAAGTCAATATTCCGATTCTGAGCAGGGCGCCAACATGGTTCGGCACGGCCCTGGCACGGCTCGGTTGTGGAGTGGAAACAAAAAAAGAGAGGCGTTTCAGTCCTGAGTTCATCACGAATGCACGCACGCACGCGTTTACTGTGACCCGCTCGGCACGTGGTAGCGTGTGTGGGTTTTACATTCAACTGCTCGTGCGTTTCAGAGCAAGTTCCCCCCCCCGCCACACACTCTAGAGCTTGCGACCTGCTGCGGGGACGTATTTACAAGTTAAGCAATTTTCACTGAGCTCCATCCAAATACGAATTGAGTGGTTACAAGCTGCACAAGCCTGATGATTGTGAAACGCGCTCCACGCGACGCAGACGGCCGATTTGTGTTCAGAGACAGCTCGTGTGCGTGTTTGTCTTTGTGTGTGGGCGTTTGTGTATGCGTGTGTTTGTCTGTTTGTCCGTGTGTGCGCGTTTCTCTTTGTGTGTGGGCGTTTGTGTTTGCGTATGCGTGTGTTTGTGTATGCGTGTTTGTGTATGCGTGTGTTTGTCTGTTTTTGTCCGTGTGTGCGCGTTTCTTTGTGTGTGCTTGTTTGTCTTTGTGTGTGTGCGTGTTTGTCTTTGTGCGCGTTTATCTTTGTGTGCGTATTTGTCTTTGTGTGTGCCCCAGAAAACGTGGAGCGCGCTTATTAAAAAGCCACCTCCACGTCTATCGGCGCCTAAAAAGTAATTTGTCTGAGCCAAATTTAGTTTCACTGGAAATGGAGTTTGGTTTTTATTGTTGATCATGTTTGTGCAGTTTTTGTTGTTGTTAGATATTTGATCGCAACTCCGTTGTTTTTGCCCCGATTTCTATTTTGTAGGTTATTTTTTATGCTCCCGATGTCCGCTTGCTTGCTTCTTGTTGTTAATTATATTTGGTTGTTTTTGCTCTGGATTTATTCTTTGGTTGTTTTGGATCTCATTCGTATTTGGCCAGGGAAGACTGGCGAGCCGGCGGCAGCGGACAGCTGGAAGTTAGAGGAACCCTCTTCGAAATCTTCAACATCACAGCGCGGGCTGCCCTGTCCCGACGTTCAAAACGTCCCCGACCCTCGATTAGCAAATCATTTTTTTTAATTCCCCTAACGCCAGTGTCTCTCCTCTCCTCCAACGTGCATCACGTGGCTCCAATCGACGGGGACTCGACTTTTCCTTCGTAGGAGCGGAGTGCTTTACTTACAAATTGAGCTGCAGACACCACACGTGACCAAAGCCAGCCTTGACCCGGATCCGGCCTCAACCCCTGCAGCACCCTGGACAGTTGCGTCACACGGGGCGCGCCACGCTCACCATTTAACACGATTGCTCTCGTGATATTTTCTTCTGTTATTTTCTGCCACGTGCGCCGAGTTGCTTCGTCTCGTTACGGCGCAGAGAACTCCCAAAAGGCAGCAGCGGATTGTCGGGCGAAGGGAGCCGATGGAGTCAGCGCCGGCCATCGATGAATTGCACGCAAAAAAAAACACAAAAAAACCCCTCCATCACATGGAAATTTAGTTAGTTCTGCCAAATGCCAGCTATTGAGAATTAAGAAATATAAGTGCGACTGAATATGTGTCAGGGACGAGGAGAAAAGTGCTGCCCCCTACTGTGTGGGCTCGATGACACTTCTCGAAGGGATCTCAGAAGTAGTTTGGTGATATCCGCTTCAGTGGACCGTTCTCCAACTGCGAAAGTTTGTACTACCTTATGAGGTGACCCCGCTGAGCGCGCGACCGGCATAACATTCGTGGGAAAAGGCCAAAAACGAAGTGGGATGATCGCGGTAACCTCGAATTCCATCACGTGATTTCGCACATCTCTCACAACGCAACCCCTCAACACCGAATGGTAACATCAGCATCGCACGGGTTCAAACATCACCCCCCCCCACCCCTGACCATCACTTCTTGGCGACAACCAAAACAATGAACACTCGCACGCGCCTGCTGTGTGTGGGAAGGCAGGCGAGGCAGGCAGGCAAGGCGTACGAATGGTGCGTGTGGGCGCATGCGTGCGCACGTGTAGAAGCTTCCTCGAGCCCAGAGAGGAGAGCGCGCAGGGGGAAGGGGGGGGTGTGGGGTGCACGCACCCAACATTCACGGTCTGTATTTTAATTGTTTTTTTTGGGGTACACTTTAAAAAAAATCCACGCACCACCGTTCGCTTTTTACTCGTTCATTCGTATGACCGATGAGAAGCGCGCGGCGAATTCTCCTTTAAGAGCACATGGTGCAAACGTCTGTGAAAGCGTGACAGTGAAGGCGACAGTGAAGGCGACAGTAACGACAACGGTGACCCCGCTACGCTACGCTAACACGTAGCCAGTGCATTACAATCTACACAAAAAATAAAAACAGCCTTCAAAGCGATTCACGCGACGGGTTCTCCCGCTGCGTTGTTTCGGGTCGAGCAGCGCGCTGTTCGCCACGGATGTCCGACGTTTCGGTCCGCATGCCTGGCGAGCTTTCGCGCATTCCAGCTCCTTGAAGAAGCGCCAGAAACACCAAGCCGGGCGGAGAGCCGTGCGGCGGTAACCGCCTCGATAACCCACGCGGGGCAGTACAATTCAGGCCACAGCGGCGTCGTTTCAGTCGACGGGCCTACATCAGGAGCCGACGTAAAACCAGGTCCAGTCGAACGTACGAGCACGAGGGGGCGACGTTATCACGGCCGCGGAACCAACATGGTCACCCTCTGGCCCACCCGGCAGTACAAATGGCTCGCGCGACAGTGAAGTCCGTTGGCAGGTCGCGTGCGTTGGGGTAAAGTGTGGATTAAGTGCCACCCCCTTCCAAGGCGTCTGGCCAGCGCGCCGAACTTAGTCGGCCGAACGGCGTAAATAGCAGTGGACGCTCCTTTGGGCCAGCAGTGGCGAGAGAGAGCGAGCAGGGCTGCGGCGCTGCAGGGCTGCACCTTTACCCAATTTGTGGCCACTCTCTGCAACGTCGCGCAGAGTGTACGGCGCTTCGCAAAGCGACTGCTGCTGCTGCTGCTGCTGCTGCTTCCATCGCCGTCGCCGAAAGGCCTCCACAGAGGCCTTCCTGCGTTTGCTGTCGCGAAACAGTGACAATGACTGCAATAACAATGGAGAAGATGAGCGGTAGAAAGCATAAACCAGACCCACTACACGTGTTGTGGGCATGGGGGGGGGGGGAACGACACACGAATATCGTGTATCCTGTTATCCGCGATGCTGTTATCCGCAAATTGACTCTGCTTAACCGTTGAGAAAACGTGCACATTCGCGGATTACGGGAAGAACGGATACACAAACGCTTCCAGGTTTCTCTCGAGTCGCGACTCGGAGGGTTATCCCGTGTCGTCCCGATTAGCGGTGAATTCATCGAAAATTATTCTCCGTGCAACGTCGCATATCTGACTCGCTGGGCGGATATGCGAAACGGTTGGATTTGAGGGAACTAGTGACGCTACCGTGCACCAACACCGCACCGGGCACGGGGCGGTTAACTGATCAGGGTGGACACGTGGCAGTCGGATAGACGACGCCGTACCATGCCGCCGACTCCCGGTTATCCGGGTTAACGGTGAGGGTATATAGGGGGGTGGTGAAGGCGGCCCGGGGTTAAAAACAAAAGCGGGGATAACGCAACCGAGGCCTGGCCACGTGGCCTCGTGGCCTCGTGGCCCCCCCCCCCCCCCCGGGGGTTTTTATTGCTTCAAGTCGCCGGTTTCGCCGGCCGCCGTGGTGGATATTTCCGTCCCACGGATGACAACCGCGAGTTAACACAATCGGGTGACGGAGCTTCCTTGACTCTTAACGCTCGACACCGCCCCCCCCCCCTCCACATTGGACAAAACGATGATTTGACGCGAATGGGGGTGGGGGGGGGAGAAGGGAAAATAATTAACGGCTCTTCTCTCGTAGTCCGCCGTGTCACGCACAAAAAAAAAACTCGCTGCATTTCCATCGGGTAGTTTGCTACCGTGAACAACAATACCGAGGATGTCCTGAGGACGGCGACACTGACGATCAGTCGGCTTCAGTCCAAGAAATTCTGTAATTTGGTCACGGCCCAGATGTGCGCATTTACGGCACGGGGACCGTTTAGGTTTTAAATTGATGAGTTTCTGCTTTTTGTGAAGGGCCTTTCCGAGCGATTCCCATAATCGAAGGAAGTGCGATCTCAACCCTTCCGCCGTGCCGGAGGGACTGCTCCGGGCTCGCGTCGCCGCGAGCCGGGGGACGCCCCAGAGAAACCCCTCTCCCGCGACGGGGGTTCAGGGCCAAACCGTACGGGCGACGTCCGACGTTTCCGCACCGACGTCGAGCGAAAGCGTCCGGCGCTCTGTGCCGGACGCTTTCGCGGCGGGCGGCACGGCTAGCCAACGCCGGAGGAGAGAGCCGCAACGGCGAGCGGCAATTGCGATTAAAAAAAACGGCACGCAGCGGTGATAACGCAACAGGATCCGTCTGGAGTGTTTCTAAAAACCATCGCGCTCTCTCTCTATCGCCCGACCTCTTTTACTTTCTGCTGTGCCGCCACCTCATCCACCGACAACCCACTTCTTTCACCTCCTCCTGCTTAGAAATTGCGACGTGGACTTAGGACTGCGAAGCCGAGGGGTGGGGGATCCATCGATGGCGTCTCTCACTTCGTCAGCCCAGGTCTTTCCCGAGGTCACGTGACTCCCAGGGCCTGGACACTACCGCCAAGCACTCGACCGCCTGCTTCTGCCGTGAGAAAAAGTCTGCTGCCGTACGGGCGATGACAATTTTTTGAAGTTTGAAATTATATTGTCGTGCATTGTAGTCATCCGGCGTAATCGTTTTTTTAGGGGCGTGGGCGCGTGTGCAGGCGGTGGCGATTGGCTGCGTTTGTGAGTCGAGCGGCTGCGTCGACGCACGCGATCCGAACGCCACGGCCGGCGCCGAACCTCCCAGCAACGTCGCCCAGACCGAAACCAACAAAACAAAACCAACAAAACAAAACAATCAATTCGTTAACGCAAACCCCATCCCTGTGTCTAACCCCGCGATGACCCAGCCCCCCTAGTGCAGCCGCCGTTTATGGGGGGGGGGGGGGGTTAAAATTCTTCAGAGGTCAAGCAGGGGTCGAGACAGGGGTCAAGCAAGGGTGTGGGTCAAGGTTCAGGAGCCCAAATCCGTTGCGTTGGGGCGTCCGCCCGGCAGCTTGGCGTGACGCGACGAGGTGGAGGAGGAGGAGGAGGCGTTGGAGGACGAGGCGGCGGTGGACGAGGAGGTGGGCGAGGAGGAGGAGAGGGCGGCAGCTTGGAGGGCGGGTCGCTCGGACTCGCGGTTGTTCACCGATTGCCTGAGCCGCGACTCGCTCACACGCAGGCGCTCCATGGCCCCCTCCAGGCAGTGGATGCGCTCCCGCGCGCTCTGCGTGTGCACGTGAACACGCGTGTGTGTGTGTGTGTGTAGGTCCGTGAGTGTGCGTGAGTGTGAGAGAGAGAGGGTACGTGTGAGTGTGTACGTAGAGAGTGTGTGTGTGTGTGTTCTTGTGCACGTATGCATGTGATTGTAATTTCATGCATGCGCGAATGCACGTGGGGGTGTACGAGGGAGTGAGTGTGTGCGCGCGTGCAAGTGTGTGTGCGAATGTGTGAAATGCATGTAAGTGTGTGTGTACGTGTGTGTGTGTGTACGTGTTTTGAGCATTTGTGGTGAGCGCAAAGACAGGGTGTGTCGGTTACACGCTCCATCACATTCTGGTCGTCGTCGTGCGATCGACCGCTTCCTGCCATAGCAATGTGGATTTTCCAGCACCATACAACTCTTAATGGAGCAAGGGGAGTCAATAACCTTCGATTTGATTCTCTATCGCAGAACTGGTGCTACGTAAAGAAAGGTTATGTTGATGATGACGATGATGATGATGCGAGTCAGTGGGCCTCTACGCAAGTCGATGGGTCTCTGCGTCAGTGACCGGGAAGAGACCATCAACTCGGCACACTGGGGAGGTCCGCTTGAACCACCGCGGCTGGACGGCCGCAACCCAGAATCGAACGCAGGATCCGAGCAGTGCCGGCTCAACGGCACACCTGATGAGCACGGTTGGCTACGTACAGGTGCGAAAGAAGTTGAACATACATACATACGTCTCCTAACCCCTATATAATCCCTGCCACCTTGTATGCATGTATGTATGTAAGACTTCTTTTGCACCATATGTAGCCAACCTGTGCTAATTGGAGGTGCCGGGGAAGGACAACCAACTGAATCCAAAAAGAAGTTATAAAGAAATGAGTGTTCAATTCATGTACGTATGCTGAACTTTTTTCGCAACGTGTGTAGCCATCGGAGGTGCCCACACACCCCCCCCCAACGTGTTCCCTACCTGCAGCTCTTCCACCAGATCCTGGTTGTGCCGCTTGAGGGAGAGGCAGGTTTTCTCCAGCCTCTCCGCGTCGGCGGAGGCGGCGGCGCCGGTGCCGGTGGAGGAGGGCGGCCCGCCTGGCTCCTGCAGCGCCATCTCGTCCTGCAGCACGTGGTATTCGACTTCGTAGGCGTGAAGCTGGCGCGACAGGTCCATCTCGCACACCTGGCCCACGCACGCACGATCGCATATGCCAATACGTTAGCATATGCAACACTAGTTACTTGCGCACAAACACGTCGACGTCTACGATCACTTTGTACCTTCTTTTAGCCCCGCCCCCCCCCTCCCGATACGTTCCATTCATTGGCTACCACATTCTGATAAGCCCCCCCCCCCTCTCCTCCCCCCTCAACTTGTATTTAAGAGCTTGCATCTTGTATTCCTGCCTCACTTGATGCAGCAAATCTGGCCGTGACGGTCCCACCTGATGACGGAGACTTGTGTTGCCTCCGAAACGTCGTGATTTTTATTTTAATTTATTAATTTTGATTTCATTTTTTACCCACGTGACTTTACCGAAAGAACTAAGAGTATGAATCCTTGCAGTCACGAAAGCTTCAAATCTAGAATTAAATGATCACATAATACCAGTAACACCCCCGGTTTCTGTTGGCGGTGCGTTCCCCCGCACCTCCGATCAGCACGGTTGGCACAGTACGGTGAGAAAGGAGTTCAACACACACACGCACGTACGCCGTTGCAGTGTGTGGCGACGAATATCCAAACGACGAACATCGAAGCAGTGTACAGGGTAGGGTGGAGGCGAAGGCCGAGAGGCGGCGGACACGAGAAAGGACGGACGATGCTGTCGGCGACGCAAGCGTGGGCTGAGGCGACGCAAATCTGGTGGCGCTGTCGATTAAGCGACGACGTATTTGCGAGAGAGAAACCACTTGGAGGAGCCGCGGACGAGCGGAAAGGCAGCGGCAGCCAACAATCGCTCTGCGGGCCGTACGTATGTTGAACTCCTTTCGCACCGTACGAAGAAAACCGTGCTAATCGGAGGTGCTGTCCACGATATAAAGGTGTTATCGGCCAATGAGTGAGTGTGAGTAAAACAAAGGATCCAGAGAAAACCCACTCGTGCATGTTTAACGATCACGATGATGGCGGTGGTGATGGTGGTACTGTTTGTATAGCGATGATGACGGTGGTGGTGGTGATGGTGGTGTTGTATGTATAGCAATGGTGGCGGTGGTGGTACTGTATGTATAGCGATAGTGATGGTGGTGATGGTGGTGATGGTGGTGATGCTGTACGCGTAGCGATGGCGATGATGGTGGTGGCGATGACATCGCACCTGGTTGATTGTCTTCTCCATTTGCACAAGGCCCAGGTTGGGCAGCGTGGTCTTGAGGAAGTCCATGATGCTCTCGAAGCTGTCGCACTGCATGATGAGTGCCTGATGAGAGCCCAGCAGGGACAGCGCCACCTTGAAGATCACCTCCGTGCCCTGCAGGAACAGCATGTCTGCGCACGCATGCAAACACACACACGGACAAAAGGAATAACCAGAGCTGCCACCTGATCCACCCCCGGCCACGCACCCTCCTGGCATCATCTCGCCCGCCGGCTCTCGGCTTGCCTTCACGAGCGAGGTTCCAGGCGCTCAGCAGCACTTCCATGCTAGTGGCTGGCGCTAACACTATAGTGACAGCATTTACGTCACTACACACGCACGCCGGCGAGCATATACACGGGTGTGCCGGCAGGGCGGAGGAACTGGGGCAAGGTTCATGGCAGACCCCATCTGAAAGCCCCTGGAAGCTGCTAGTGGGCTCGAGGAGCATAAAAGGAGCAGAGAGCGGGAGCTCAGGGCTACGGGCTCTGGGAGCGAACTCTTCCCGTCGCCGCTGACGTCGTCGCTGGATATTGCGCGGCCGGGTAGTTGCTGGCCGTCTCGTGAGCGCCATCGGTGTTACATGGTCAGGGTTTTGTTGAGGCTCGGCTAGACGACTAGGTGAGAGTGCGAGGGCGAACCTGTGAAGTGTGAAGTTATTTACACTATGAGACCTCCTTTACCAGTGGCAAAATATAGTTATAGGTTTTTACCCTTTCAACTGGTACAAAAACTGACACCTTTATACAAGGGATCATGTTTGCAATAACCACAACACAAGCAGTCAAAATGCAAACGCCTTTTGGCGTCATCTGGTCCAACACCAATGGAGACTAGGCTCTAAGAAAAGCTGTCTCGGGTGTGGACCAATCAACTTCAAGGACAGTGCATATCATTATCAGAGATGTTTCTTTTTGTTTGCATTTTGACTGCTTGTGTTGTGGTTATTGCAAACATGATGCCTTGTATAAAGGTGTCAGTTTTTGTACCAGTTTAAAGGGTAAAAACCTATTACTACAGTGGCTACTTTTTCTTCTTTCGTATTCAGGTGCTCAAGCCAGATAACCGCGTCAAGAGCAGTAGAGGGGTGTAACCGCTGCGATGACTCCTTCGTATTTGTGGATCGGGGCATTGCGTCGTTATTCGTTGGACGGTCTCTGTTCCGGATGACCACAGTCGCGCACAACTGGAAAGTTTTTTAATTTCCATTTGCGCATCAAGGTATCCGCCGCATCTGCCACGGCCTGTGCAGTGGATGGATGCTGTTTAGTGTGGACCATGAGCTTCCACGAGCGGATACTGAGACGACCGGAGGGGCGGCACGCGGAGGGCGCCCGTACCGAAGACGCGCGCCACGAATCCGAGCGGGAACTGGGATGCGAAGAGCGTGAGGAACCAGGGCGCCGCGTAGAGGCTGGGCCCGATCTCCGACTCCTCCAGGTGCGCGTACAGATCGGGGTGGTAGTCGTGCAGCAGACGAGACAGCTGGTACATCTGGATCTGCGCGGAGACACACACACACACCCCGCACCCTCCGATTAGCACGGTTGGCTACGTACGGTGTGAACGATGTTCCACGTACATACATACATACACACACAGAGCGGGACACAGACCGGGACACGGCTGGAACATGGGGGGAACAGGGGAACAGTGACATCCACTTCCATGTAGGCCATTCTTTAACATGGAGGGTTGCTCTGCTCTGTAGGGGAGATAAAAATTGACTGTCTCGTGATATGACACCATCATGCCTCTCCCCACCACCTCCCCCTCTCATCTGCAGGGACAGCATCATACCTCTCCACACTTTCCCCTCTCCCCACCACCTCCCCACTCACCTGCAGGGACAGCATGTCGGGGCAGTACTGGCGCCGCAGCCCCAGGTGGTAGAGCAGGTAGATGAGCGCGTGGAAGGCGTCGCACTCCGGCAGGTGCAGCAGCAGCACGCCGGCCACGAAGCTCAGGCCCTGGCAGTAGCCCACCTCGGAGTCGAGCAGCGAGTAGGCCTTGAGCAGGTTGTAGAGCGCCAGCTGGCCAGAGCCCAGCTGCGCTGAGAAGTACGGGTGGGTGGGGAACGTTCGGCCTGCAGTGGGAGGGGGGGGGAGAGAGGGAGGAGAAATGAGGTTGGGAGGTGAGAAGGAGTGATGGGGAGGATGAGGGGGGAGGATGAGTGGGTCAGTGGCCGCGACGATGCGTGGTGCTGGTGCGCAGGCGCAAATTGCAGCTCTGCGGGTAACGTTCACGCGGCGCAACCCAGGGGGGTTCAGGGTGATGAGGTCAGGCCACGGGCAAGGGGGGGTGGGGGGGGGGGGCGATGCCCGGCACCCCCCCCACCCCCTCCGCCGCCCGGCGTTGCACGGCGTACCCAGGTCGATGAGGATGGCATGCTGCTGCGAGGTGAGCCTCTTCAGCAGCTCGGGGTACGGCGTGTCCGGGGGCGCCTGCTTCGGCGGCAGGCGGTGCCGCAGACGGTACTGCTCCGCCAGGAACTGCCAGATCTCTCCCCGGCGCTGCCGTGGCACGCCTGCGCCGGCGGCAAGTGGGGTGGGGGGATGGGTCAGGGGGAGACGCGGCACGACCTCCTGTATACCAGGCGAGGCAGTTAACAGCTTGCCACCGCGAATATACAACAGGGGTCAGGGTCGGGATCGAACCCACGAGCTCCTGTACACCAGGCGAGCTAGTCGACATCTCCGAGCCACCGCGACGCCGTCTCCCCCCTCCCTCTCACCCTGGCTGATGGCGGCGTGCACCTTCTCCATGTCGCAGCGCACGCGCGCGCGATTGGGCGCGCCCAGCAGGCGCTCCCACACGACGGTGACGTCGCGCAGGCACGGCGTCACCTCCGCGTAGTCCAGACGCGCCTGCGCCTTCTCCTGCTCCAGCTGCCTGCGAGCTGCAGCAGGCCCCGCGGAGACGGCGGCAGCGAGGGGGGCGGGGCGGGGAGGGGGTGGGGAGGGGGCGGGGAGGGGGCGGGGGGTAGCGACAGGGGAACCGCGGTGGCGGCGGAACAAACGCGACCGTCAGTTAGAGGTTCGAGATGGCCCAGATGTTTACTTCCCGGGGTCAAGCCCGTTCAGCTACAAGAGGCCGACTCGGCCGGCAGACAGCGATGTGGCTCTTCTTCAGAAGTGACTTGGCCACTAATGATAGTTCAACGAAGTGGCTTATCACGTGGAAATTTACAGCAGCCACATACTCTTGCACGCATGTCGATTCTAAATGTGGAGGGAAAAACCGCAGGACTCGGACAAAAATTCACGTGGCCACGGGGAGAGAGATACGCAAACTCCAAATATACAGCAGGCGTCAGGGTCTGGATCGAACCCACAGCTTCCTGCATACCAGGCGAGGGAGTTAACATCTCGCCACCGTGGCGCCGAGAAACAGCTGTGCCAGTTAATCGCAGAAGCTTACGTCTTAGCAAGTTCAGTTTGTTCAACAAGGTGGGAAGAAGAGCCGGAGAGCATGAGATGAATCCTCATTTGCAAGAGGTGACCGACCCCGGGTCACCGGAACGACAAAAGGCAAAAATAAACGAAGCACAGCGATGAAGCGAAATAGAAATCGGCGAAAAAACCAAACGCGTCATCGCAAGAGAAACCTAAAGTACCGCACGAACGTACATCGATATTAAATAATACATTGCCTGGAGCGCAAGTGGGCTCGGGAAGACTGTCACGTGAAAACTAAATAAATGCCCAAGTTTATAAACGCGTCAATCTCGTCGGGTGGTGGAGGGTTACATTACAGGAATTTTTGCACAAAACTACTACCATGTAGCGCAAACGAATAACGAATATGGACCATCGTATGCATTCATCGTTAAATTTATAATTCACATCGACTGCTACGAAAAGTTAATCGGCTCGGGCAGGGCACGTCGTGGACATAAAAGATGACGGACGGCGGTCGAGACCAAGGATGGAGCGGCAGCCGAAGGAGAGGAAACGCTCCCGAGACGATCTCCACCAGGGAGATGGAGCGATGAAATCCAGCGCCGCTTACAGACGGTTAGACGCGTCGCGAGACGGTGAGAGACGATGGGGGCGGCTTGGTGAAGGCCGCCATCCAGGAGTGGATAGAACCTGTTTGATGATGACGGTGATGGATGGGGGCGACTTGGTGGAGGCCGCCATCCAGGAGTGGATAGAACCTGTCTGATGATGACGGTGATGGATGTCGACGGTTGGTGGAAACCGCCATCCAGGAGTGGATAGAATCTGTCTGATGATGACGATGGTGGATGAGCTTGTTGAAAGCCGACAGAGAGAGGGAGATGGCACGAACGTTGGAAGGCACCGCCAATGTGATATCTCTGCGCTCGCTCAGAAATAATTTCTCATCGCAAAACGTTTGCCTGGATCGCCGGCGGACTGGTGTAGATGTCACCCGATTCAGGTAGTACCTCCGATAAGCACGGCTGGCTACGTACGGTGCGCAAACAAGTTCAACATACGTACAAAATACATAGTAACCACAGTCATAGCGAGATAGGTAGATGAGAAAGGCGCACTGGATGTGGTGTTCCGTGGTGCGCAGATGTATTTTCCGGATGACAGAACTGGCTGGAGAAAGAAAATCCCCGATGCTACGAGCAGCGAGGAAACACGAGCAGCTCCACTGCTCGCGTGACTCATCGCAGCCAATCCCCGTCGCTACCTCCCGCGCGTGCAAATCCTCGGCCATGTCTGGATGAAATCGCTTAAGTTCAATGCCCGATAGCAAAAAATTTTTCCTTCCAACCGAGGTTGACGATCGCTCGCTGTGGCGGCGGCGGTGACGAAGCCACGTCGTTGTTGTCACACCGCTGGGAGAGCGGACGCGCGGTGGGGCGTGTCTCTCGGCGCGACTCCCGGCCGGCAAATCCCACAGGAATCGCGGGGGGGGGGGGGGGGGGCGGGTGGGTTGGGGTGATAACCAGCGGAGCGGAGAGATGACAGCACGGGACCCCCCCCCCCTCTTCCCCGTACCCCGGCCCCCCCAGATTTTGTTTTCAAATCGAAGTGCGAGTAAGCAAGGTCAGCCGCGCAAACGAATAATGAACAGACAGACGGTCAGATGGATGCTTGGAGAGATGGAGGGAGACAAGAGGTATTCATTTGTCCGGGGACGGACGAAGACGAGACAAAACGAGAGTGAGACAGCCACGCGCACAGACGAGAGATGATGCAGATATCTGACCTTTGGAAAAAAGCAGCATCTTCAGAGGAGAGACGGAAAGCTTCAAAAGAAGGCAGCCGCGCCTACCCAACTGCTCCGAATTGTTTCGGACAAGGAGCGAACAGAATAACTAGACGCTGGCAGGCGAGACCAGAGCACAATGCCAGATCGCAACAACAACAAAGGGAGGAGGATGCCGTTGCAGGTCGCGCGGTGCAGCGAATGAGGGCACGACGCCGTTGTTGCCGCTGCCTATCGCTGGCACTCGGTGACTCATCCCCCCCACACACACGCACGCAGGGACGCACGCGCGCAAGCATGCTTTCGGCGCACGCACAACGGTACATACGCACGAACGCCCACGCAAGCAGTCGTGGGCCGAGCTGGGCTGCCTCTGGGTGGGTGGGTGGGGGAGAAACATCCAATTACCCGAGACGGTGATTCACCCGGGAGAAAGTGTGAGCCCACGGCTGTCGATGCGATGCTAGAATGGTTATTGAAATGCACGCGCAGTCGCCCGTGTTTGAGTTTCGTGCTGGGGGGGGGCGAGGCGGAGGGGGGGGGGTAGAAATGGTGGGGAGGGGGGCAGGCGGGGGCACGGAATTGCCGGCGCTCCATCTAACACCGCCAAATAAAAGAAAATAATTTAAACTGAAAAATGTGTGAGGTTAACAAATTAATGATACAAGAGGACAGCAGTGAGGAGTAGGGGGGAGGGGGGATTGTGACTGGGCATTGCCGATAGGTGTGGAACAGTACCGCCAGCATTGCTCCGACCCTGGCGATCACTCTAGAAGTGACAGTGCCACCATCACCACCACCGGCTAAATGGTATTTACCCGGCAAACACTTGGCAGCCGATTAATGAGAAAAATTATCACTCCACATGCAGCACCGTCACATGGCACTAACCGCACAGAGCACAATCTAAGAGCACAACCACGTAGCAGCACCACACAAATATCACCCCACCCACCCCCACCTCCCCCCCAACTGTCCCAGCACAGACCCTTCTGCTACCTCGCCCCCCCCGCCCGTCACGCCAGGCCCCCCGTCCCCGTCCCCCGCCCCAGGGCACATTACATTGGGAACAATCTGTCTGGTGACGTCAAGGATCGCCAAGCCCCTGCGAGCATTCCCACTCGACCGCGTCACACCGTCTGGATCGGATCTCCAGCCAGCACATCGAGTTCGTCGCATCATCGCAACGCGTGCTCTCCGCTCCCCTCCACGTGCAAGTCAAGCCACGCGCGCATTCAAGTCCGGCGCTCAGGTCTCCACCACTTCCATATCGTGAAAGTAGGTCACACAGCGTGGGCACGGGGGCGGCTACTGCTGCTGGCCGATAACACTGGTCTACTATTTTTTAAAAGGTCGTCTGCTACAGGGATGAAATGTGCTGTTTGTTATGGATTTTGACGTGCTGAATTCAAATATGACAATTAAAATAAGTGATTGGTTACTGTTCCCAAGATATTTAAGTTATTACATTTTACGTTTTACTCATAAACCTAGGTCTTTTCATGTGTTTACGGTCGCTTTACATGGTAACATGTCGCCTGTGCTGTTCATGTAACACTTAAAAAATCAGCCAAAGGGTTATATAAATAAAATGTGTGATGAAACAAAAGGCAAAAAACTATTATGTATAAGTACATAGTTTAGTCCTTATTCAGTGTCTACTAAGCACGTCATGGTTTGACTCTTGTATTCATTAAATGGAGCATCTCTTGCCAGTGTCCAGCAACAATCTGCAAGCATTGATGGGCTCCATTTGCCCTGAGAGCGATTCTCCATTGTCGCAATGTCCTGGTGACATCGCTCGCCATGACCGTCGCTCACTGCTCTGCAGTTCGGTGGGAAAAAATGTATCTTTAGTGACATGTTGCAACCAAGGCGTTTGTATGCCTTGAGGAGGTGTTCCACCAACTCCCTGTAGTTGTCTGCCTTGTTGTTTCCGAGAAAATGTGTTGCCACTAACTGGAAGGCTTTCCATGCCGTCTTTTCCTTGCCACGCAGTGCACTGTGAAATGCATCATCTCGGAGAAGTTCACGAATCTGAGGACCAACAAAGACACCTTCCTTTGTCTTAGCTTCACTTAACCTTGGACATTTTCCACGGAGGTACTTGAAAGCTGCTTGTGTTTTGTCAATGGCTTTGACAAAGTTCTTCATCAGACCCAGCTTGCTGTGCAAGGGTGGAAACAAAATCTTCCTTAATTAAACAAGTGGTGGATGCTGAACACTTTTCCTCCCAGGCTCCAATGACTGTCGGAGTGGCCAATCTATGTTGATGTAGTGGGAATCTCTCGCACGACTATCCCATTCGCAGAGAAAACAGCAGTACTCTGTGTACCCAGGCTGCAGACCAAGCAAGAGAGCAATAACCTTCAAATCGCCACACAGCTGCCACTGATGTTGGTCATAGTTTATGCACCTCAAAAGTTGTTTCATGTTGTCATAGGTTTCCTTCATATGGACTGCATGACCAACTGGAATTGATGGCAAACCATTGCCATTATGCAGCAAAACAACTTTGAGACTCATCTTCGACGAATGAATGAACAGTCTCCACTCATCTGGATCATGAACGATGTTGAGGGCTGCCATCACACCATCGATGTTGTTGCAGGCGACAAGATCACCTGCCATGAAGAAGAATGGGACAAGATCCTTTTGACGGTCACGGAACATGGAAACCCTAACATCACCTGCCAGAAGATTCCACTGCTGCAGCCTGGAGCCCAACAGCTCTGCCTTACTCTTGGGTAGTTCCAAATCCCTGACAAGGTCTTTCAGTTCACCTTGTGTTATGAAGTGTGGTTCAGAGAAGGAGGATGGGAGAACATCTGAGTCATGTGACCTTGATGGTTCAGGACCAGAAGTTTCATCCTCTTCCTAGACTCAAGTGAGAATGATTCTGGTGCATCAGGAACCGGCAGTCCTTCTCCGTGGGGTACTGGGCGTGTAGCTGATGGAATGTTTGGATAATGCACAGTCCACTTTTTCTTCTTGGACACACCTTTCCCAACTGGAGGCGCCCAGCAGAAGTAGAAATTGCTGATATGATCCGTTGGCTCTCTCCAAATCATTGGCACTGCAAAAGGCATAGATTTCCTTTTCCTGTTCAACCACTGGCGAAGATTTGTTGCACACATGTTGCAGCATATGTGTGGGGCCCACATCTTGTCCTGATCTCCAATTTTTCAGTCAAAATAAAGGCTTTCTTAACCATAGTGGTTATACTGCGTTTTTGTGATGCAAAAGTCACTTCACCACAAACACAGCAGAAGTTATCGGCTTTGTTCGCACAAGTACGAGACATCTCTGCTCACTTTGGCTAAACAGAAATGTGTCCCTTTGCAAAAGCAAACACTGGCAAATAAAAGAGCACGACAATAAGATTTCTAGAGCTGATATAGGGCAATTTGTTCAGCAGAGGGATGTAAGCCTATTTATGGTTGCATCATCCATGACTTATAGGAATAACATGATGCAATTCATATCACGTATGACGCAACACCAGCTTCAGATTGCATCATTCATTGTTTTGCTCAAAAAGCAAGTACTGTCCAAACCCAGTCAAAGATTTATTCACAGATGCAGTCAAAGATATATTTTAATAATTCTAGATTTGAAGCTTTCGTGACTGCAAGGATTCATATTCTTTGGTTTTTTCGGTAAAGTCACGTAGGTGAAAAATTTAAATTAATAAAAGTAAAATAAAAATTAAATAAAAATCACGACGTTTCGGATACAGCTATCATGCTGTGACGGTTCCACTGAAGACGGAAGCTTGTGTTGCCTCCGAAACGTCGTGATTTTTATTTGATTTTTATTTTACTTTTATTAATTTAAATTTTTCACCTACGTGACTTTACTGAAAAAAACCTAAGAATATATTTTAATAAGTTGTGGTTTAAATTGAGATCCCCTCCCTTTATAACTCACTTATCCTCTGCCATCCCCAAGTCAAGGGTCGTTTCGACTGACCCAGTAGCATAACTTTGCTGTTTTTTCCAGGATTTTTCCTGTTGAGCGTAGTCACTTTAAGATGTTTCTTGTTCATGTTTTTGTTTTGTTACGGTTGCACCCGAGTCAAGAGCCGCATGGCTCACCAGGGTTATACCTAATACATGAAACTGAATATCATGAAAACTAGAGCCAATCAACAATGTGAAGCATCATCTTGATTCTCAGTGGCCCAGAGTTAGTAAAGTTGAACTATATTTATTTCGGAAAAATTTTGGCTGTGGACCAGTGTCTAAGCCGAGAGCATCTGGGACATGGGGGGGGGCGGGGGGGGTGACCTAGCGGCCGACGAGATGGCGTGGATCGTCGGTGTGCTCACAGCGAGAGGTGGGACAGGGGTGATTGGCCCGGTGCCGCCCCCCCCCCACCACCACCGCCCCACCCAGCGGATCACCGCTGGCTGTTTTCTCTGTTGTGTGAACTAAACACATTTTTATTTTACCTGAAAGACAGGGTGCTTACATTTTTTTTTAACACTCATATGGGATTATCGTTCTTAATGGAAGATCGGATAATAACACTGTAACACTTGTTCGCCATCATTGTCAACACGTGCCTGGAATTTTCTCCAGGTGGTCTCCAGAGCCCGGAGGAACATTTCTTGTGGTATTGTTGCAAATTCTCAGAAGCGTTAACATTTTTTTGAAGCATCCTGTATATAGTTATTTTTCAGAATCCACCTCGCCAAAAATGATAGCTCAAAAAAGTGGCTTATCATCGTGTGGAAATTTATAGCAGCCAAATGCTCTCAACGCATGTTTCTAAATGTGACGGGAAAAACCGGAGGACCCGGAGAAAAACCACGCGACCACAAGGAGAACATGCAAAAATGCATCTGTCCAGGTCAAGATCGAACCCACGACTTCCTGCATACCAGGCAAGGGAAATAACATCTCGCCACCACGGCACCCCCGCATGGAAACCACACAACAACAACCACAACCCACACAACCACACCTTCGCGGAAGCGATTCTGCCGCTCCACGCGGATGAGCAGCAGCTGCTGGTCAATCGCCTTCCTCCAAAGGTGGCGCAGCTCCTCCCGAGAGCGCGCGTGGCGTTCCCCATCACCGGCACCCGTCTCGATCACCATTGGCTCGTCCGACGGCGGCTCCCGCGGCGCGGTTGGCCGCATCACGGGCGACTCGTCTCCCATTGGCTGAAAGTCGGAGTCGAGCAGCGAGCCGATTGGGCTCTCCTCGAGGGGCGGAGTCAGCGGCGAGAGAGGGAGGAGCTCGCTGCCGTCTGGACGGGGGTTGGGGATCAGATGGGCATCAGTCCAATTGATTAAATAAAAGTAATCGGTGCGTGGATATTTGTTTACGTTAGTTTTTGCAACACTCATAGGAGCACATGAGACGTATTCTGAATCCAAAATGGGCGCCAAACCAGCCACACACGATTTTATCCTGACCTCTAACTAACCCGACCACTATTCTGCCCCCTTTAAACCCAAATCGCACACCACCTGTGAGCGCCGAAAATAAATTCCGATTGGCTGCAACATTTTTCTTCCTCTTCTTCCGAAGCAGCAGCGCTTGCGCCCGCACACCCCGTGCCCTCCCCCAAACCCCCCCCCCCTCCCACCACCACGTCGCTCATCGTCGGCGGCGACCTCTGACCTCTGGCGGCTGCGGCGGCGCGGGAGGCTGCGCAGCTCTTCCCCGGCGCGACGACGCGCAGGAAGATGTGCTGGCGCCACGAGATGCGGCGCTGCTGCACGGGGGGGCAGCTCGGCCGCCCGGGGGGGTTGTGGCCCCCCAATTCAGACCAGACTCCCCGCAGGGAGGCGGCGGAACCGGAGCCACCCCAGTCGAGGTCACTGTGGGTCGTGATGGTTGGGTGCGGGGGGGGGGGGGCAGGCGGGAGGGGGGGGGTCGCACGGAGAGACAAACGGACGCACGCACAAATGCACACGCGCGCGCACCGTGCGAGTAAATGAGTACAGGGGGAGGTGGGTGCGTGTACATAGGTACTGATGTACTCACAATGACAAACACACGCACGCACAAAAACAACACAACAACAACAATACCCGCCATTCGCCACTAAGTGGCGGAGACGTCACCGGGACCCCTGTGCCAGGCCAGGTGCACACAAAAACAACTCTATACACACACAAAATGTGTACGAACAAAGATGCCCCGTAGAGCGTTGAGCAAGTAGCACCTATGAAGGCTGGAATGGCACACGAGGAAGTGAGTAGCCACCACCACGCCCGGCCGCCTTAGTCTCCCCAGTGGCGATGTTTACACACCGCACCAGGTACTGATTTGAGGCTAAGTCGACCTAGGGGATGCCCAGGACCGGTTCAGATAATCGTCACTGCTGTTGGCCGTGAGCGGGAATCGAACCCGTGTCGCTGAAATCGTAGCGCACACATACACATTCACACATAATTAACCGCATAAACATACACAAACACTGACTGGCATGCACACATACACACAGACAGACACACACAGCTACAAACGCATGACAAATCCACATCGGGCAAAACACACGCTGGTACGACACACACACTGGTACGACACACACGCTGGTACGACACAATGAGGTGGGGCAGCATCTGAACACAGACGAGGAAGTTATCGTTGGTTATCTTTGGAATGAAATCACGTGTAGACACAGGTGGCCATCGTCTCGCCACCACTGAGTAGAAACAAAAATCAACGCGGAATCTCTGACACCTCGAGGGGGGGGGGGGGTGGTTAAGTACGGTCGATTAACACGGATTGGGGGTTCATTGGGTGAACAAGGCTCGTGCAGAACACGAACAGGCGGTGACGCACGCGTGAGGGGGAGGGGCGGGTTATAGTGCTGGCTGCTCCACACCCGAGCGATCGTTTGAGCAACCAAAAAAGAGAAAAATCGCCCGCCACTGCTTTGCCCACATCCGAGCCAACAGTCGCGCAGCAGCAGGGAAAGTCAAACGGTGAACTTTTACTCGAGATTGTATCGACCAACCGTACCTCGTGGAGGAGTCACGTGGTGATGAATTACGTCGCTACACAAGTGGCAAAGCAGATCGACGCTCGGAAGTCGACTTTGTTGTCTCCAATGCGTGCAGCAACCGGTTGCGTGCAATTGCTCGCAAACCGATTGCAGAGACGTCGACGTGCAAGCGAATCGGATGCATGCCACAAAGTTTGCGCAAACTGATCGCTCAGACGTGGCCCCCCGGCTTTGTTGCTCACGAACAAAATGACTGTAAACGGGATGCCTCAATCAGCTAGAGTTGCCACCTGTCCTGGATTTCCAAGGATTGCCCTCTTGTTGAGGAACATAGCTCTGAGTGTTCCCCCTAGGACATTAACAGTTCTGCTTCTTGTGACTTGCATAGTAATGAAAATACGCTACTCAAGACAATGCATTCAAATGTCGTACTCCCCTAATCCACTACTGGAAGATATTCTTCTTCTTCCAATAATTTTTCCCAATTATTTTTGACCTCACAGTATGCATGCTGAACTTCTTTCGCACCACCATACATAGACAATCTTGCTAATCGGAGGTGCGGGGAAGGACAACAAACAAAACACAGGTGGCAACCCTACAATAATCAGATAGATCCCACCCCCCCTCCACCACCGTCCGCTAGGAGCGTAGCGATTAAGCCCCAGCGCGATCCGGTGATGATTCAGGGCCGTCGAATCAAATGATTAAAAATAATAATGAATGTGATGGCTTCTAGTAGCTGCAGGGCTCGCAGGGAACCCGCTGCACGAAACAAAATGTACTGAACTGTAATAGACGAATCGGTAAAAAAAAACGTTGAATCTCACACGTGCTCAGGAAATGATGTGAAACGATTAATCAATGCATTGTTACATCCCGGGGCAGTTCCACTCATCAGGCAACCAGTCAACATTGGTGAACTCATCCTAGTAAGGCATACCCTAACAATACATACCATAACAATGCATACCCTAACAATGCAAACCCTAACAATACATACCCTAACAATGCAAACCCTAACAATGCATACCCTAACAATGCATACCCTAACAATACATACCCTAACAATGCATCCCCTAACAATGCATCCCCTAACAATGCATCCCCTAACAATGCATCCCCTAACAATACAAACCCTAACAATGCATACCCTAACAATACAAACCCTAGCAATGCATACCCTAACAATACATACCCTGATGATACATATCCAAATATGTATCACCAGAGTACGTCTGACACCACCACGGGATTCTTCCAAGCGTTCCCCATTGTCCCTGTCCCCCCACAGCTCCCCCAGCAAAAGACACGTGACGTGCATCATGTCCACGTGAATCACGGCCCTAATTGGTGGTGGAGATATCACTCCTAAAGCGGACAGAGCCCAGCGCGCTTTAATACGCCACGCCATCTACCCAAGTGTTTAAAGCGTCTCGAACGTTCGCCCCCAATGGTGAAGCAACCCCTGGCGGGTCACGGAACGAAGTCCCATCGCGCAGTACGTGCACGCGGGGCACGCACGGCAACGGGGGGGGGCCGTCATCTTCCCATGCACAGCATGCCGAGGAAGTTCTGCCCGCGGTTTTTTTACCGTCCGTAAAAACTCAAATGAATTCCAGCCGTTCTCAATCCACCAGTAGACACCACGGTGGTGAGATGTTAACGACCTCGCCTGGTATGCAGGAGGGCGTGGGTTCGATTCAGACCCTGACGCCTGCATATGTGGAGTTTGCGTGTTCTCCCCGCAGTCGCGTGGCTTTTTCTCCTCCACATTTATAAACATGCATTTGAGAGCATTTGGCTGCTATACATTTCCACGTGATAAGCGACTTCTTTGAGCTATCATTTGTGGCCAAAAGAGCGACATGGCTCACAGTGGGCCTTACCTGGTAAAATAAAAATCGTTTAGTTTTAGTTGAGGATGAAGAGCTCCCCATGCCGTATCGGTCGCAGGTTTAGTTTTGAAAAAAATACAAACTTTACTTCACCTACGCTGGCCAATGTTTGGTTGGTAAAAGGATGGGCGGCGTGGTTTGTGTTGGTTGTAGCTTGCCACTGATGTTAGCCGTGGCTGCCAATTAAACTCGGACTGCTGGGTTCACAGTGCAGCGCTAATCACTGTTCCCACTGCTCCCATCCCTTTATCCTGTCAAAAACACCATCCAATCTCCCTACCTCCCCCCTTCCCACCCGGCCCAGTAAATTACAACTCACAAATACATAAAAAATGTCACCTAAAACGTACACGTTTTGAAATCGTGGAACTGCCCCGCCAAACACCGACACATGGCACCCAAGGTTTAGAGGTAACAATCACATGGCCATCGGCGTTAACTTTGCTCAGGAAGTTCATGGCAAACCCAGCGATTTAAATTTTAAGCCGACGATGGCTACGAGTGGATGGACATCCATGAGCCTGACGATCACTGCGCTGCTGGATATCCGCGAAAAAGAGCTTCATAGCTCACCGGATTTATCCAGGATAAATATTAAGATTCTGATGCGAACTGCCGATGCCCACCTAAGAGCAAAGCGTGACCGACAGTGAAGAGGCAGAACGAACGAGTCTGAATGCAGAGGCAGACGGAAGTGAGTTAGTACCGATATCAGAGACTGCGCTGTTGCACTGAGGAGTGCCAAAAATGGCACATCAAACAAAGCAATTGGCAATCTTATACAGATGTATATAGCACCTTATTCAAGGTGCTTTTACAATAATTCTGAAATTGTACAAAAGATCATAGTGGTTAAAATAGAGAGTGCGGTTATTAAACGTGGTGGTGATGGTGCAGTTTTGGAGGACAAGGTGAGAGTGGTTAAGGAGGGGTCGGGGTAGACCTGGTTGTAACTGGGTCGCAAGCAGGATGAGCTAGGGAGCAGAGATGGGTCCGTTTTCAGTGAGGAATGGAAGCGGGTGGCGGGGGAATTTAATAATTAAAGGGCGTTCGAATGAATGCGTGACTGTTTAGGTCGACAAGACCGTGAGAACGAATGAATGAGCGAACGGAATCCACCAACGGGAGACTCGGCTAAAACTGTGCAGCTCGTCGTCGGCAAAACTTGGCCAAAATCAGAATTAATAATCATGTAAATAATTAACATTTTATAAGGCAGAATTAATCCACGGCCTGCCTTGATTAACCCCGATAGCCACGAGCTTCCCGATCAGCGCCACCGATATCGTTGGGTCAAGGCAAATCCGCGGCGGTGGCTAAAGGAAGACGCAGCCAAAAACAATAGCAGGCTGGCACACCAAGCCTCAAAAGCAAACCTTCATTAATGTACGTTTTGCAATTCTCGTTAACTCTATCACAGTTACATCGCTGCGAAGGTTTTCATGGCTATGCTGCCCTCTCACAATGCCCTTTAGGTTTGCGTCGCGTGCTGTTCGGTACGATGTTCGACGTTTCGCTCCTGTGCCGAGAGCTTTTTCAGGAGTTGAAATGTCAGACGTTGTGCCGAACAACACGAGGAACAAGCCAAATCGAGACCGGCGAGCTGTCCCCGGTGTCATGGGTTAAGCCGAAAAATCCACTTGCTAGAGAACGATCCACAGAAGCGGATATCACAGAACTCCTTCTGAGATCCGTTCAAAGTGACCTCTGGTTCGGACAATAGAGCGCAGCACCTTCCCCACTCAAACCCGCTACAGAGAGGAATGTTCGTCGCACGACATGTCAAACAAATATTTTTTGTTATTCTCAGGCCTGGAAATTTTTGCCAAATTGAGTGCAGAGACACATTTGACGCAGAGCGATTTGATGCGCAGCCATTGTGTTTCTGGGCTGTAACAACAGGTGGCTGTCTGGATATATACCTAAAATGTCAGCCAACATCATATAGAACATCCATTACCCCCTGCCATCTGTGCCGTGTACTTTCTGCCACATCCAAGCTCAAGATCCTACCCTCCCCTCCTGCTCGCTCTGCCCCGGCTGCGTTGCCCAACGAGGCTTGGAGCTTGTAAGGGGTGTTTCCCGCCAGCTGAGACGCGTCTTCCTTTATCCTCGTTAGGGAGGGTGAAATCACTGCTGGATCACTTACAGCAGATGCCCGGATTTGGCTTTCGTGCTGGACGCAGGGTGAGAAAACCTGGGGGTTGATTAATTTGTTAATTAATTTGCCCATAATCAACCTGACCGCCCACCACCAGCGACGCAATAATCACATACGCCGTGCCCCCCCAGAAAGCCCCTTGCGTGCCCGCCTCACCCCTTCCCCCCTCCACACCAGCGTTCGTACCCAGACCCCCCATGCTCGGCCACAGGGTTTAGCATCCGCAGGAGGCTCGGCGAGGAGGCCGAGGCTGTGAGGCGGTGGCGCGGGTCGGCAGGGTGAGCCGCCACATTGCTAGCGGCACACACGCACGTACACATGGGGCGCACGCATCACACACGCGCACACGTGCAGTTCAGTTTTTCATCCGCGTCGGAAACGGCGCTTCCACATTACCGCTTGTCCCTCGACACGTCAGGGCGCGGGGGGGGGGTAGGCAGCGACGTGAGCCTCGTGCTCGTTGCGGAGGTTATAAAACCCGGTGACCGCCCTGATTAATATCAGGGGTTCATGCGGGAGCCAACGACGTGCATGATAATCGGGGAAAACGACACCGCAATCGACTCGCACGCGCCACGACCCGAACGGCGTTTACCGTCACAGCCAACAACTCGTCACAACACACGGGTCGAATGCAGCAGGCCTCTAACCCCGCCATGTTATGTGCACCATGGTATGTGTGTGTGTGTTTTGCGGAAAAACCCTCGTAACCCACTGTCCAGAAGGCTGGCATTTTTGTCGAATATTCGTGGGTCATTGCTAAATCTGGCTGAACGCCTGCACGCATGACGATCTGATTTGTCTGGCTGGATCAGGTGGTGGAGTTGTCACGGCGAAAAAAAAAGAAAACCCCGTTGCCAGACCGTTACGTGGCCTAAACAAACCAGTTATGACCCCGTATTAACCAGGACAGCCACTGGGCTCGAAACGCAAATCTCCGCAACAAACGCGCTATATATTTATATCACACCGCGCGGTTAAGTCAAGTCAAGTACGGTAAATTAAAACATTTTCTTAAACAAGTGGCGCCTTTCTGGCACAAATCTGCCACTCAAAGCGCAAATCACGAGTAGCCCCCCTCCCCCACTTACCTTCTCGTAGCCGAGGCAGGCTGCTGCTGCTGGTACTGCTGCTGCTGGTGCTGGCTGTTGAGAAGGTATTTTAGCAGGCCGGGAGCAGAAGGGGAAGGGTGAAGAGTAGCAGGGCCTGGGGAGGCCGGGGAGCCCGAGAGACTCCCCTCTCCCTCCCCTTCCCCGGGACTGCGAGAAGGAGGACGACGGGAGGAGGAGAGAGAGGAGAGAAGCAGGGACGGAGGAAGAAAGCGCGGAGAGGGGACAGACAAATGCACACACAGGAAGGACACGGAAAGCGAGAGGCGAATGTCGACAGGCGGTGACGTTGATAAGGAGAGATCCCAACCGAATAATACGAATGGCTCGTATTTTGTCGCTACACGCCGAGGCCGTGCGTCTCGCTGGGGGGTTCCTGACACGGCTCCCAAGCTCCGGCCCACACGTTTTTTCACTCGCGCGATCAGACCAAGAATAAAACATTCTATTACAAAGAATAATATCGGTCGCGGAAGCGTACGCTTTATATTTTAAGGGCCGTTTGTTATTTCGGTCGATCATTCCTCTAACAAGGACACCGCAAAGGCAGGAGCAGCAGAGCAGAGCAGAGCACGCAAAAGGGGACACGGCGATCTACGTGGGGCCCAAGAGGAAAGGGCAGGAAAGATCCGTGGGGGCGTTCGAGAACTCGGGCGTTCATGGGCTCGGGAGATGGGAGAAACAAAACCAAAACACTCAACCTCTTACTTTTCTGTAGAACAGAGACCGGCGCATGCGAGGCAGGGAGAAGAGGGCAAGCAAAGGGGGGCAGGGGGCAGCACGAGTAATTCAGGCAACGGGCGGGGGAATCTACGGCTCCAGCGTGCCGGAGAAGACCCGCGACTTCGTTTCACCTGGCCCACGACCGCACACATGGCCGACTACTTGGAATGGGCCCCGCCAACGACACTTAGCCCATAAACAAGCTCCGTGGCCACACTAATCGGGCGTTAGAGAGCAATGTTTTCGACCTGGCTCGTTCGGGTCGTTGGAGGTGGTGAGCGAGGGGTGGCACCCACCCTTTGCGATGGTGCGTCTCGCTGTGGAACGAGTAGAAGCGCTGCAGCTTGCTCTTTCCCACGGCGGCGGCCGCGGCGGCCGCGGCGGCCGTGGAGGAAGACAGCGACGAGGAGGCGGAAAAGGAGGCGGCGGCAGAGAAGGAGGAGGACGAGGCGGAGGCGGACACGGAGGAGGAAGGCGGCGGTGGCGGCGTTGTCGTCGCCCCGGCCTGGCCCGTCGACTCGGCCCGCTCGTCGGCGAAGGTGATGCGCCGCTGCGTCCCGCTGCCCTGCGGCAGCGAGTGGCTGAAGGTGTGAGCGCGGCGCCGCATCTGCAGCGGAGATTCCGGCGTGGGAGGCGAATGGGGGCTGAGCGTCGGCGAGGGGGGAGGCGACGCGCCAGGCGATCCGTCCTGAAGGGGGCAGCAGGAGACAATACATTTTTATTTTTTACAAAATTAATGACGGAATGTTTCGGGCAAATGAGTTTTTTTTTTGCATTTTTTTTTTAAAGTTGTTGTCATTCCCCCCCCATGGTGGCCACAAGGACAGAAGAAAGATTATAAACGAGAGGAGGGCGACCGGCCGGTCCATCCGGCTCGTTGGGTTGTGAGTGACAGATCGCTTATCAAATCGCATCATCGAGGAGTTCTGGTGAATCAGCTTCCACAACCACCACCACACGTGGCTGTGTGGCCAGCCAGTTCCACACTACCACCACTACCACCACTACCACCACTATCACCACTATCACCACCCGTAGCGAATATAAAACACAATCACTTCCCCTTGGCCTCGGTGCTGAACTTCCCCATGGTGGTGGCCTGCAGTTCTCCTCGCCTCTGTGTCGACCTGGAGGTAGAGTTTGTAGTCGTGTGGATCGACTCGGTCGATGTCATTTAAAGCTTGTGCAGCCCTCGAATAAGTCCTACACAGATTCGTCTTCTCAACGTATTGAAGTATCGTACGAGAAGCAAACCACGGTCATTTGTCCAGGAATGCCACGCCGAGTCTCACGGCTCTTTCTTCAAGAAGGTCCTGTCTGACACTGCTTGGCCACTTTCCTTTGCAGCGCTCCTGCCCTTTTCCCTCGTCCTGCCCCTCTCGCCTGTCCCTGCCCCCTGCCCTCTGCCCCTGCCCTCTGCCCCTGCCCCCTGCTCCTGCCTTACCCTCGTCGACTCACACGCGTTCAGGCTGCGCTCGCGCAGCGAGTCGTAGTTGTCAACACTGCCCAGGCGGCTGCGCATTCTCCCCCCTCCCTGCGTACGCACACACACACACGCGCACACACACACGCGCACGCACGCGTGCACGCACGCACACACACGCACACACACACGCACACATACACACACACGCACACATACACACACACACGCACACATACACACACACACGCACGCACACACACGCACACACGCACGCACACACACGCATGCACACACACGCACGCACACACACGCACGCACGCACACACACGCACGCACACACACACACATCATCGCCGACATCATCGTTAGAATTTTTGTTGTCGTCATTGTTATTTTCATGTTCATCATTCTCGTCATCATTGCTGTCATCAAATTCATCATCGCTGTGGTAAATGTTGTCATCGTCATCACCACCTTCGTCACCATTGTCATCAACAATGATGCCTGTCATCAACATTGATGTCATCAGTTATCACGACTGCAGTTACTATTGTCATCATCATTATTATCAGATTCATCGTCATGGTCAACATTCTTACGATCATCGTCATTGCCATCATCGTCATCATCATTCTTAATCATCAATAACGTCAATGAACGTTGTGATGTTTTTTTTTTATGTTTGTATATTTTGATGGTGACGCCGACACACAATGGCCAACTCGATTGAAAGAAGCCACCGGATTTAGCCTTTATTGATCATATTTATTTTCTTTATTCATGTTTATCGGCGCATGGTACACTTCCAAGAATAAGCAAACCGCCCCGAGGTATGGGTCGTATGCGTCCTTTGTTACAGCGCTTATAGTTCAAATTTCGCAAGGTTGGCCGATCCTTTCTATTAATAAACACAAGAGGGGTAGGGCAAGTGGGGGCGGGAGGGGTAGTGGTGGGGGACTCCACTGTGAAGCAGACAAGGCGTAGTATTTTACGATTAATACGACACCACTGCAGTACTAACCGGGGTGGCCTACTAGAGCTGAACCGTGAAACTCTCCTTCCACTGGGGCCGTGCCACAGCCCCCCCACCCCACCCCCCTATTTCACTGCTGCTTTATAGTTATTGCTTTATAGTCAATGCGTTGTTATTTTGCACAGTGATGGGACCATTCGTTTTCCCAATCAAATGCGCAGGGAAACTGGCAGGCGCAGCGGCGCAGGAGATACGCGAGGGTGGTGCACGCTGGGGAGCCAGATAAGACTAGGGGGGTGGGGGCTGGGGGCTGGGGGGTGGGGGCTGGCGGGGGTGGGGTCAAGTTCAAGTGCGCATTAGCAAGCGCGCGCACGCGCGAGAATGCCAGCAGTTGCGTTACAACGTGGGGCGTATCTCGGCCCCGTTCCGTGATGTATATTCCAGAGATATTGTTGTTATGTTTTTTTACGCGCCTCCTATTCATGGGGCTTATCAGTCATATGCTACGCAAACAGAACACAGTAATGACGCGGGAGTTATCTCGACGTAGATCGAAATGGATCCCTCTGTGTAGTCGTGCAAACGTGCGGTTGCAATAATAATATTGACAACGATAAAAATGAGGATTGTAATGACAATTTGCGATGATGATCCAATCCCAAATCAATTTCAAAGTCACCCTCGTTAACGTCTTCCAAGGCACTCTCTCCCTTGACTAGCGCTCTCCTCCCTCTCGTCTCACTCTAATCCCCCATCCCCTCCTGAGAGGAAACTGAAGAACTCGGGAAAAAAAAAAACCCCCGTGGAGGCAGAACAGGGGGAAAACCTCCGCTCAGAAAGGTGCCAGAATCGGGAATCGAACCCAGGTGCTCCTTGCCGCGAGGTGCGAGCTTTGCCACCACGCCAGATACCTTGCCGCAAAATCCCGTTTGGTCGCGCCTCCCATGGACAAGCGACGTCCACCACCGCCCCCGTCCCCGCCCCCACACTCACCCTCGAGAAGATGTTCTCCAGGGAGTTGGTGAATGACTTCTTGGCCTTGTTCTTGAGGATGTCCAGCTTGGACTGGCTGGGAGAGGAGCGCAGATCTCCCGTCCCGTGCGTCGGCTGACCCTGAGCGAAGAGATGGGGGTCGGAGGTCGAACGTGAGCGGAGGGGGGAAAAAGACGACCATCAGGGCGCGAGAAATGGCTCCTCGTTGGTGGTAGAGGGGGGAGGGGGGCGCAGCAAAATCCACGGTTGTATGGCGATTCTACGCTCTCCGTCAATCGCCAAACCGCACAGACAAAGCGTGGTCATGGGGAGGCCCCCATCCAGCAGCGGATTGACACGAGGGCTGTGCGTGTGACCGCGATCGAATCGTTTTTGATACGTGTAGTACAGTCTGCGTAAGATTTTAAATCGGTGCACATGACCCGCTTGTGGTGTGCGAATCGGAAACACGGACAACGACGCACGCACCTCCATGCGCAAAGAAGCATGGAGGTGCATTCTGGGGATGTCCACTGAGAGGCGAGAAGAGGAAGACGTGGATTAGAGGCGTCACACGTTACTCGAGCCTTGTACGTGGCAGTTGCTTCGTTACTAAACAACAATATCTTTAACTTGTAAAGCACTGCACAATCGTCGCTCGACATCGAAGACAGCGACTGAGAAACGCGAAGAAGAACCACGGACGAGCGGGAACGCAGCGGCCATGCGGTGAGCCATTGTCAAATTGACCCTTTCCCCACCCCCCCGAGCTCTGCAGTCCTCTATATATTAAGGCGTTATCGACCAAATAATAAAGTGAGAGGAAACCAAAGTCGTCGGAGAAAATTATCATGTGCAAGGGGGAAACACTCTATCCCACCCAGATGGAATAAGTGGAGCTCTGCATCTTTTTTTCTACCGCCTTCTCTCCTGGCGAGCCAGGGGTACGGCAACTTCCCTGACGGCCCCCCCAACGGTAATGGGTTAGGCTGCGCAACATTCGCACGGCGATCCGTCGTACCCTCGCCGCTGCCTCGACAGCGCCGCCAGATCCCTCAGAGCGCCGCCTTACCTGCTGGGGCATGTCGCCCAGGTGCGTGTGCGTCTTCTGCTTGCCCTCGCACACCTGGCGCAGGACGCACATCACCACCTCGTTCTCGTCCTGGTCGCCCGTGGGACGCTGGCGCTGCACTCGCTCAAAGATGTCGGCCTGCTCGTTGTCCGACAGCAGCGCCACGTGCTTCTGGATGACGAGCTTCGCCTTGGGCGGGTACAGCCCTAGCGGCCGCCAGAGGGGTCGGGGGGAGTGGTGGAGGGTTGGGGGAGTTGAGGAGTGGGGTGAGTGGTGGTGTTGGGTGGGGGTCGAGGGGGTGAGAAGGCAGATGAGAGAGGCGGTTGCGATGCGAGCGGGCTGGATGGAGTGTTATTCATATTCTTATGAATCATTGCAGTCACGAAAGCTTCAAATCTAGAAATGGATGGAGTGTTGTTCGGCACAACGTCCGATGTCTTGCTCCGCGTGCTCGGGAAGTTTCTTCAGAAGCCGAGTTTCCTCCACCCACGTTGAAGACTCGGTCGACCAGACTGAAGGCATTCTCACCCGTGCTGCTGGTCACAAAATCACGTTCGCCCATCCACGCACACTCATCCAACCCATCGATCCACCCACTCACCCACCCACTCACTCACCACACTGCAGGCCATCTCACTTCTCTTTCCGCTTCATCCCTTGTCCTGCTCCACTTTGGAATTCCCTCCTCCCATTGCCCCTTGTAGCCCCGAGTTCTTAAAATAACCTTGCTCAAATCGAGAAACGTTTTTTCACTCATCTATTAACATCTTCAAGATCGCTGTTTCATTTCTGGCCGCTTGTGAGTATTTGGGCCTTCGGGCCCTGTGCTCAGCAATCGCGATAAAAAATAATAAACCGCAGAAGACATTGCACGACACCGAGCAATGACGCCACCAACCTGGATCGCACGGCGGTGTTCGATTGTCGTGCTGCCGTCATCACACCAATATCAAGCAACACCTCGCCATTTGCCACGAAGTGACGGTGATGTCACCACGGTGCCTGTGCCAGGACCTGGTGTCAAAAGTTCGCTGACAGGAGGTCATGGGGCAGACCCCAGTGCCATGGGGTTGACTGACTGAGATGACTGGCAGACGCACCAGCTGTGGCCCCTACTGTGCCAAACTGCTGTGTTTCAGCCGCCCGGCACTCCGCTCGTTTTTGTGAGCGTCGCTCCTCTGCCCTCCGTTGTTGTTGGAGGTCGACTGTTTCCAACTGATGAGTAGCGTCCTTCACGTCACTACACTAACATCCCCCTGACCCTCCCTCCCGGAGTATTCGTTCTTTGTGAAGTGACTGTCGACCGGTTAGAGCCCATGTCAACTTCGCTACAATGGAGGTCCCCCGCCTGGTTTACCATTGTGTTTTTATTTGACCAGGTAAGGCCCCACTGAGCTATGTAACTCTTTTCAGAAGCGGCCTGGCCACAAATGATAGCTCAACGAAGTGGCCTATCATCATGTGGAAATGTATAGCAGCCAAATACTCTCAACGCAGGGTTCTAAATGTGGAGGGAAAAACTGGTGGACCCCGAGAAAAATCCATGCAACTAAATATACAGAAATAATCAGGGTCGGGATCGAACACGCAACCTCCTGTATACCAGGCGAGGTAGTTAACATCTCGCCACTGTGGCGAGATGTTAACTACCTCGCTTGGTATACATTATACAGCACCTACACCGCGACCTACAACCCAAACGGAACTATCCTTGAATCTTACGAACCTCGTTCAACTCAAGAAACGCGTTACACTCGTATGATGTTTGGAGTTTCGGGGGCCTTGCTTCTGCGCTCAGCAAACCCTGATGGAGAAAATGAACAAATAAAACACTCGGCAATGAGTGTCGCGGATCTCTGTGCACGCTTACCCTCGATCCTCTCGCACAGCTTGTGCAGGTAGTGCATGGGGCAGGCCTCGCAGAGCTGCACGGGCGTCTTGGCGTTCTGCAGGCTCGCCGCCGTGTGGAAGGCCTGCTTCAGCGTTAGCATGATCTCGTCCACCTGGAGACCCACGCGGACAACCGCGGTGAGGGGAGGGAGGGGAAAGCCGCTTAGATAATTAGTAAAACTTGTTATGCTGCGCCGCTGCTACCACGCGGTATCGACTAAACAATAAAAAGTAAACCATTTTTTATTTTACCAGGTAAGGCCCACTGAGCTATATAGCTCTTTTTCAGAAGCGACCTGGTCACAAATGATAGCTCAACGAAGTGGCCACATTATCATGTGGAAATTTATAGCAGCCAAATAATATAAACGCATGTTTCTAAATGCGGAGGAAAAACAGGAGGACCCGGAGAAGATCCATGCGACCACGGGGAGAGAGACATGCAAACTCCAAATATGCAGGCGTCAGGTTCGGGATCAAACCCACGACCTCCTGCATATCATGCAAGGTAGCTAACATCAAGCCACCGTGAACCAGCGCCATATCCCCCCCCCCCCACCCTCAAGCTCTGCAGTCCTCAACACATTAAGATGTTAACGGCCAATTGTTTTGTGTTTACACATGTGGAAACTAGAGCATCTGCAGAAAACACACGTGTGCGATGTGGCAACACTATCTCGGACAAACAGACGTTTTTCAGTACCGCCTTCTCGCCAGGATAAGGCCCAACTCCTTGACGCCCGCGGGAAGGGAGTTTCACAACGTTTGTGCGATCCACTAACTGTCGCCTCGACAGTGTTGGATTACAGGCCGCGGAGATAGCGACCACCGCCACCCGGATAAATTATCGTTTGGTACTCTCCCAAACCCACCTACTCCACCCGATCTCCATCTACGTTCACCACCACCATCGTCGTCATCACCATCATTAACATTGTCGTCTTGTTGGACACGGTGGCATACATCTGCAAACCAGGTCGACACTCCTCCCCGACTTCACCGACCCGCACTGGCCAGCGTGGTGAAGTATGGTCACATAACTCTCACAGCCAGAGCGGTGTGGTGGGAGGTCGTCATCCAGCAGTGCATTGACGAACGGGCTGTATCGAGTACGTACGTCATAAGCCACAGGCAGAACCGTGTGACTGTCAGGCAGCTCTCGGGAGGCGGGAGAGAGTGTGGAACACAATCATGGGCTGTAGAGGGCAGCAGAGTGTAAGGGCAGCAGGCCAAGGCGATAACACAAGGTGGCCCAAAAGTTTTGTGACTGGAAATAGAAATAGGGGTTTGGGCTACTAGGGCAAGGGTTAGGGGCTGGGACGATTGGTGCTGGTGAAAGCTATGGCTACTAGGGTTGCTGTTAGAGGCTAGGACGATAAGGGCTGGGGCTAGAGTTACTAGGGATAGGATCTATGGGATCTGGGTTAGGCCTACCAGGGCTGGGAGTTAGGGTTACGGGGTGGGACTTCAATGCCTAGGGCTATTGAATCAGGGCTAGGACGACGAGACAAAGGCTGGAGGCGAGGTGCGAGAGTCACAAGGGTTAGAGAGCAGCACTGACCAGGGCCTCGCTGGCGCACTGGAAGACGTAGCACACGTAGTGCGTGACACCAGGCTCAGCACTCTCGCGACAGATGAAGCCAAAGTGATCGACATGTTTGATGCCCTGTGGGGGGGAGCAGCAGGGAGGGGGGCACATCACACACAGCGGACAACACAGGAAGGAGGACACGCATCAGAGACACGCGTATAAACAAAAATAAAAACACATGCACAAGCACACACATAAGAACAAGCAGATGCACACACTCATGCACAGAGATAGATGTACAAACACAAATGCACGTGCAAAGACAGATTAACAAATGTGGCATACACACCAACACGCATTCACACGGATGTACAAATGCAAAGACCACCCATATAGCCTTAACAGACTGTTGGGGCAAGTGCTGTTAGCGAGCAACTATACAACACAAAATAAAGTGGGTGGATAACACCACGCCTGGTCGCCTTTGTCTCCCCAGTACTGACGTTTTCACAAAGACAAAGATCCCCTGGAAAGCCTTAACAGACTGTAGGGGCAAGTGCAGTTAGCGAGCACCTATGAAGGCCGGAACGGTACACGTTTACATACACACCACACCAGACACACAAACCCACACACAGCGCACACGCGCACAGCACACACACACACGGCATCGTCACCAACCCCTCCAGTCATTCATTATTCACGCCGCAACTTTCCGCAGGATTTTGTGACAAAGCGCGCGCCCCCATTACTAATCTCACCGCTCGCGCTTTTGGGATTTGGCGGCGCCATAGGGGCGCCAGAGGTAGCCTGCGAGCAGCTGTCACACGGGCCGAGTCGGAATGTCTCCACGGGGGAAAACGCGCAACGGTGGCGCTGAAGCAGGAGGGGGCCCCGTCCATTTAGGCGAACTAGGCGGTCGCCCCGAGGGCGCGTCAAGTTAAGTGGAGTGCCAAATTCGTGGCAGAGTCATGGATGATTTTGGATTTGTGATGGTACAAATTTTTATTAACATTTTTCATGCATTTTTATCTGAAATCAAATTGACGTATCGTTTAGTTGTAGTGTACACATCTATTCTTTACATTTCGTGTCTCCATTTTATCTAATCTCAGAAACATCGGTTGGCCAGACAGACGCACGGACAAACCGAATAATCATACGCTTAAAAAACATTAAATGGAAAATGTGGGCAAAATGTTTTCCAAGTTTATTAAAAACGTCAGCCTAGATCGGTCCTTTGGGTTTGGGGGCGCCGATTGCGTCGTTCGGCCTAGGGCGCCAGTTGGGCTGGCGGCTAGTCTAGGACCGCCCCTGCGCTGAAGCTAAACTACCCTAAGGCCATGGTGGAAATTCCACATTCCAAAGGCAGGTTCTGTGTGTTGTCTTGGTGTGGTCTGGGACTGTTTTAGGCATTGCTTTGGTGCCTTGCCCAAGCTTGGGAATTGGTGTACATATGCAATTTTAACTCATATACTTTACTTATTTTACGTATTTATTTTTAGTGATTTGCTTACCTTTCCTATACACTGTACTCCTATTGTGTTCTTGTACTGTTTGTTGTCGTAACCTTCTAACACGCCCATACTGGACATCTGTGAGAAAGTGCTTTGCGGCTCATCGGATTTCTCCGGTATAAATAAAGACTCGGATTCCGATCAGTACTCTACACCCCACAAGACAACTCGTGACATTTCTCGTAGGCTTTCAAGACACAGTTGATGAGCGCCATGCCCAAGGCCCGAGGGACAGAGCGGGCAGCAGCGAGACAGGCGACAGCCGTGAGCGCAAATCGCGCCAGCGTCGAGGGGGCGCCGGGCGCGCGTGGAACAGATGCATGGCGCGCTTGCGCAGATTGGGGGCGAGCGGAGAAGGAGCGGAGGAGTAGCGGCAGAAACCTGGGAGCAGGATGAGATGTCCTTGAAGTTCTTCTCAATGGCCACGGTTTTGGTGTCCGGGCTGATGAGGTTGATCTCAAAGCGCCCGACCTACGCGCGACGATCCACCAAAGCACCACGACCACAACCATCACCACCGCAGCAAGTCATAATAATAATAACAACAGGAGTTAACATCATTACAATCATGATGATCAGATTACTACGCAGCATAATCATTCACAGTTCCAAGTTGCCCATCAATTCCATGATACGGGCAACCGCTCAAAGTAAAATCTATGAGCCGGGGACACAACAATCGTCCGACGTCGTGTTGCTGAAGCCGCGCCAAGGTGTTGCATAACGTTACCGTCGTTATCGTTACGTAACTACGAGGCGTCTTTGCACAACTGGTATCAACCAGGTGCACCTTGCAAAGGGTAACCTTGGTTCTCATTCCGGACTCGCCTGATTAAATACAGAAAAGGCAACGCTAATTTCCGCTTGCTGCCATCAAATATGGATGACAAAAACAAAAACCCACCTGACTCTTGGAGACGGACGAGCGGATCTGAGACACGGGGCCATCATGGCTGTGTCGGAGGCACTGAGAGCCAGCAGCAGGATGGTGGTGGGGATGGTCCATTAAGAATCACGTATGTGCGTGTGTCAAACCATTATTGTTTTTATGTAATATTGTGTTAGGGCGCTGTTTTCGACCTCTTCTGCAATGCGGTTACTTTTTATCCGATTTCTATTTGCTTCATCGATGTACTTGTGTTCTTGTGCAGACCTGCAGATTGCCCTGGTTCGCCACTGGTTAAGCAAAACAAACCTGAATCTTGAAACTACATCAAGACCCTTCCAATATGCCACTCGCCTCCCCCGTGTGTTTTGCAGAATGGGACACATCCGACAGAACATCCGGCGGGGAGAAAGAGCGATGATTGTTACATCGCTGGATCGTGAGAAATGGCAGCGGCTTTGGGAGACATTTATCCAGGAGTGGATTGACCACAGCCGGTTACGCTGATAATGTATGAACGTCAGCATCTCTAAGGCCTCTCTATTCATGCGCTATGAAGAAGGGCCTTTGCCTGAGTTTTATTGACGAATATCTTCGGTTTTTGTTGTTCATTGTGTTCTTGCACCACTGCCATTGCAGTTAACAACAGGATCACCAGATAATGGTTTAAGGTACGAGGAAAAGCCTGACATTTTGACTTTGGAGCTCAGCTAATCTAAGGACCTGCCCTCGTGTGAAACCGGAGGCAGGGGTTGGGTAGATGTTGGGGTCAGGTGTCATGGTCAAGTTTTGCAGAGGCTACCGCGAGAGAGATGCTATAGAACGAAGGGGCTCACTGTCTGCCCCCCTTCCCCCACCCACCCGCCACGCCACTCTCGTTTCATGTCCGCAGGCTTTGATGTTTCTGATCCGCACAGAGCACTAGGGTGTTTGCGAGTCAAATATCACAATCACCAAGCTATAAACTTGGAAAGAAGCAGTGAAATTGATGATCTCAGCCCAGTTACCGATGACTGCACAAACCCCCCCCCCCTCCACCACCATCAGATTAAACTTGGTTCCGCATTTAATTTGGCCAAATTCCAGCGCTGAGATTTAAAATACTGGTTTGGCAATCACGTGTCAAACCTTAACTTTCATGTGGCAGGGCGAGTGGTGAGAGCGCTGCTCTCTTACTGTGTGGCCCACTGGTCACTTGTAGGGATCTTGGAGGTAGCTCTGTGATGGCTACTTCCACGGGCCGTTCTCTGCGAGCGATCCGAATGGATTCTCGGTTTCGTGATGATGCGACGTCCAACAGTACAAATCGAAATAAAAATGAGGAAAAAAAATGCAAAAAAAAGACCGTGTCACTGCTGGGTGGCCCGCACCACACCCGGCTACCTTTGTCTCCACCAGTGGCGATGTTTACACACTGCACAAGACACTCATTTGAAGCTACGTAGATCTTGGGGAGGGGCCCAGGACCGGTTCAGATAATCGTCACCGGCGTTGGCCGTGAGCGAGAATCGAACGCGGGTCGCCGGGTTCATAGCGCAGCATGCACTCACCGCTCCCCACGCACTCAAGCACACTCTGCACTCCTCCAACCCCACTCGCCTGGAAAAGCATGGTGCGGTTCTTGTCTGCGTCTGACGGTTGCACCAGGCTCGGCGCGCTCGCGTGCCGCCTCCTCTGCCTGCCGGTGCGGCATGCCGAAGCGCCGGCACCGGCGCCGCCGCTCGCCTGTGCCGGCTTCCTCTGCAGGCTGCCCGCCGCGCTGTAGCACCGCCCTCGGAAATCTGGCACGCCTTCCAGATCGACGCTGCTGCCACCGCCGTCGTTGGTGTTACCGCCGCCGTTACCACCGACGTAGGAGAAGCTCCCGCTCCGCCCGCTCGTCGGCGCCACGGCGGCGAACACTCCGACGCCGAGGGGGTCCGAGTCGAACGCCAGTGAGTCGCAGGTGGCCAAGGCTGACAAGCCGCTTGCCGCCTTGCCTCCATTACCACCGGCGTTGTCGTTGCATGCCGACCGCCTGGCCGAGATGACGATGCCTTCATCCGGGACGAGGTCGTCGTCCTCCTCCTCCTCCTCGGACGTCTTGGCGCACCGCCCGTCGGCGCCGGCGGCGGCGGCGGAGGCAGCGGGCGGGGAGGAGGAGGACGAGCTGAGGGACAAGCGAGACTCGGACAGCAACGCTGATGACGGCGCAGTGGCGGCGGCGGCGGCGGAGACCGTTGGAGTGGCCGGCGGCACGAGCGGCGCCGGCTCTCCGATGTCACCGATGAGATCCTGCGACCCGGGGCCGTCGGCGCAGTCGGCGCCCTGCGACGAGCGCCGCGAATCGCCGCCGCCGGCAATGAAACTGGGGCCGTCCGAAGCCGGCGCCGGGCTGCCATTGCTCTCGCCGTCACCGCTGCCGCCATCGAGGCAGCGCAGGCGTGAGCGCGTCGACTCAAGGAGGCTGAACTTGGCGATGCAGTCGTCCACGAGTGTGGGCGGGGCCTTCTTGTGTGCGACGCTCACCCTGCCGCGGTACAGCACCTCGAACTTGTGCGCGTTGCAGAAGGCGTCCTGGGCTCCCCCCACACCGCCCACGCCGGATGATGGCACCACCGCCGTCGCCGGCGCCGCCGGTGGAGCCTCGGAGCTGCCCCCCGGCGCTGCCGCTGCCGCTACCCCTGCTGGCTGCCCAGGCTTGCCACGGCCCTCTTCTTTGATGGCCGCCTTTCCCACTTGACGGATGCAGCTGATCACTTCTTGGACCTGGAGGAGGTAAAAATGGGAAAAAGAGTAAAGGCGCAGCTCCTGCAATTGCTTACTCATGTAACTGTTGGCGAACAGGGCCTCCCCGCTAGAGGGCAGCTCTAGAGAGCCCCGCAAGAGGGAATTTGGCCTACTCTTCCACGCCGGCTAGACATCCTGGTAGAGGTGGGAGTACTAAGACTCCACCCCACCATGTGCGGGCCTGTCGATCGACTGATTGTGGTGTTACACATTCGTACGACTGGGTGGACAAAGGCGGAGGGGGATTGGAAAAACTTTCACCATCGTTTCAACTGCAGTGCCGGGAGAGTGCAGTGTTGCTGACCGTTATGCAACGGCAGCATCTTGAAGGGGACACAGGAAGAAAAAGGTGGGGGGGGGGGGGGGCAAGGGTCAAACTCAATTAGAGTCTCTTGTCAATCAGCCGCGGTCAGGTGGATCTGTGGTAGAGAGTGCCGCTTGCAATCGGAAGGTCAAGAGTTCAAATCCTGGCTGGGGGAGAGGGGGGTTAGAATGCGACTCGGCCCATCATCCTTCCCTCCGGGGTTGATAAAATATAGCACCACTCTCTGGGGGACGTCAAGAGTGGTTGTCCTACGGGAGACTCACCCCCGTCATAGAAATGTGGAATTTCCACCACTGGCCCTGCAGGGCTGTAAACTGCAGATGACCATCAATGCCTCATTCAGTGCTCACTTGAGCAGGAAATCAGCGTTGACTCTTACAGATGCATTATTGTTGCTGTTAAAGCCACCGGGCAACCACTTAGCAATTGTGCTACTTAATCGTGAAAGAAAATACATTTTCAACAACTTAATTTGCCACAATCTCACAACTTCAATTACTTTGGGTGTGCCCCGAGGCAGCCTTTGCCACCCCACTCTTGATCTTGGCCTAGGGCAGCCCCACAAACCAATTTCCACTTTTGCTGCCAAATGCACAAGTACAACGACTGAGAGGCAAGTGCTGTAAGCGAGCACCTATTAAGGCTGGCACAGCCTAGGGGTGGGGGGGGGCAACACTATTGCCCAGCTGCCTTTGTATCTACAGTGCACAAAGACCCACCCCCGTATAGCCTTAATAGACTGTTGCGGGAAGTTCTGTTAGCGAGCATCTCTGAAAGTCATACACACACACAGAAACTAACCAACACACACAATCACTCGCCTACACACATAAAAAGAGAATAAAACACTTCAAACACACACACACGTACACAAAACACACACACCCACAACTCCACTCATAACTCAACGAGCACTCAAACACAAAATGCTCGGAAGCTGAAGCTGCGTTCAGGAAAGGGCTAAACACACAAAGACACAGAAAGTTTTCCACGAAAAACTAAACTTGACTCGACTCACCCGGTTTTCACACCGATACCACCACAACACTCATGCTTACACCGCCCCATTGCTCACAATCGCACCGCCCCGACTCCGCTCACACTCACACTCAGTGGCGGTATGGTGTGTGTGTGCGTACATGTGTACGTGGGTGTGATCTTAGTGTTCGTTTTGACTATATGGGTGTGTGCATGGCACACGGGGGGGGGGGGGGTCCTGATAATGAGTGGGAGTGTGGGGTGCGCGTGTAAGGTCATATGTGACATGCGGGTATGTGCTAATAATGAGTGGGGGGGTTATGTTGTGGCACGAGGGGGGGGGGTGTGTTCAAGGGTGGGCGGGCATGCTGATAATGTGAGGTGTGTGTTGTGCACGGCTGTGTGCATGCCATAGGTGTGTGTGTCACAAGTGTGTGCGCGTGTCTCACAAGGGTGTGTGCTGATAATGCCGTTGTCGTAGAGTAAGGTGGGGTGTGTGTGCGGTCAATACCAGTGACGATTATTTCAACCAGTCCTGGGCCTCCCCTAGGTCGACTCAAACGGAGTACCTGGTGCAATGTATAAACACGGCCACGATAGAGAGACAAAGGTGGCCGGGCTTGGTGTTGGCCAACCACCCCCTCGTGAGCCGTGCCGGCCTGCATAGGTGCTCATTAAGAGTACTTGCCCCAACAGTCTGCTGAGGCTATGTGGGGGTTCTTTGTCTTTGATAAAGGGGCCAAGGCTGTGTTGTGGAGGGGTATGCGTTATGGTGTGAGGGTGTCGGTGGTACCGCAAAAGTGTGTTGGGATGTTACCATGACCCCCGTGAGGCCTTTAACAGGCTGCTGGGGCAAGTTCTGTTAGAGGGCACCTATTAAGGCAAGAACTGCTACAAGCAAGCCACATTTGCAAACACACAACGCACACGCACAGAGAGGAAGAGAGATGTCAAGAATTTGGTGCATGTGCACCCATCAGTCTGTTAAGCAAAGACTATTATTATTAATTATTATACTCGTTGATGTAGGAAAGCATCGGTGAGTCTTGAGACCCTCTTCTCGGAGGGCCCTGCCAAGTTTTCACAGCAGGTGGTGATGTTGCCATGTGTTGCCCGAATTCAGTAATTTCGTAGGAAGTTTGTCAGCACTGAGACGTTTGGCCAATACTGGTTAAATGTTTCATGTTATTTTTGGCTATGGTAGGAAACTGAAGAACCCAGAGGATACAGAAGCAGAACAGGAGGAGAGCATTCTAACTCCACCACAGTCAAGAATCTAACTCGGGGCATTTGTGCTGTGCGAGGCACGGGTGTGACCCGGAGTTCGATTTCAACTCACGGCCAAACACCAGTGATGAATATTTGAACCTGTTTTGTGCCTCCTCTAGGTCGACTAAGCCTTAACAGGAGTACCTGGTACGGTGTGTAAACGACCACAGTGGGGGAGACACACATCCCCTTCGTGTGCCGTGTCGGCCTTCGCTCGATGCTCCTCCTCGCTAACAGCACTTGCCCCAACAGCACGCCAGAGGCTACACGGGGGATCTTTGTCTCTAAAGTATGCGAGAACTGGCACGCACGTGCGTCCACTCACACGGACGTGTGTGTGTACGTTCGCACTAGCGTGCACACACGCGTCTTATTTCACACGGGCGCTGGCGTGGGGACGCTAAGAGGAGGCCTGCGCTCCAAGAACCAATCGCAGTTGGCGGTGGGGGTGGAGAGCATTACATAACGTGGCAGCACCCTCACCCAGGGGACACGCACATGCGGAAATTCCGAAGGCTGCGAGTTCACTGCCACGTTCAAGACCCCGGCGAAAGAACGGCCCTGCTGATCCGATGACACACTGGGGAGGTGCGCTCTCAACAACCGTGTCCCACCAGCAACGGCAGCAGCAGCAGTGACAACAGCAACACGTGGAGCAACAAGAAGCAGGTGTGGGGGGGTGTCTCACCCCCCCCCCATAAATGGAACTATCAGAGGACTCCTCCAAAACAAACCGCAAATGCACAGCGAGGTGCAAACCGATGAGGCGCGCGTGTCGCCGACGACTGCCCTAACAGGACCACGCTCTGCATTCTGGGGGAACGAGCAAACCTCGCCACTCAGCTACCACCCCCCCCCCTGGATGCTGCCATGGAGGTGGCCGACAGCATCAAGCACTTGATTGTAATCCTCGTGGCCACGTGAGAAAAAACAAGGAGACGACCACCACGTTCATCAACATCGACGCTGCGGAAAAAAAAAGTTAACCGCTGCTTAAAATAGAATTTCTCTTGAGTTTTGTCCCCCCCCCCCCCCCCCCCCCCAGTTTATTTAAGCTCTTCAATTGGCAAGTATCCATTCAGAAATCTCTCACAGCAACGCATTGCCAGGGCAGCCGCGGGTGGAGAGATTTCGGTGTGGACGCTTCTCCCATGAACACGCTGAACAGCGTTCTCCCGTTCAGTACCGCGAGAGTCAACTGACGATTTGAGGAATCGCGACTTGTCGCTGCCTCCATCTCTCTCTCTCTCACGAATAGCAACGCCCGGGCGCGACCGCAGATCCGGTTTACACACGGACGGAGCGAGCAAACGCATTGTGGTCGGAACGCATTCCAGCATCGCGAATACCACCACCACCACCGCAGCCGCCGCTACTCCCCACAAAGACAAAGATCCCCGTATAGCCTCAACAGACTGTTGGGGCAAGTGCTGTTAGCGAGCACCTATGAAGGCCGGAACGGCACACGAGGGGGTGAGTGGCCAGCACCACGCCCGGCCGCCTTTGTCTCCCAAGTGCCAATGTTTACCCACCGCACTAGGTACTCATTTGAGACGACTTAGGGGAGAGCCCAGGACCGGTTCAGATAATCGTCGCTGGTGTTGGCCGTGAGCGGGAATTGAACTCGGGTCGCCGGGTTCGTACTGCTCCCCACACACACACCAAGGCAACCCAACCCGCTGCGTGGTATATCTCGCTTCAAGTAAACAGGGGGAAGCGCGTACGTACGGGGAAGGGAGAGAGAGAGATAGAGAGGGAGCCAGCCACTCGATAGATTATCATTCGGCTGTCAAATTTGTATTTCGAATTCTGCTGTTAATTGTTTTGCCCGAGGCTCAACAATAGGGGAACAGCTTCTCTCAAAACATCAAACCGCAAGTGCAACAACATCCGTGCTGGTCTCCAGGACCAGTCGCACGCTCGGGTATCGTACCGACACAGCAGCAGTAGCACTAGAGGCATCTCTGGTCACCGAAGACAATGGTGACAACAATAACGACAAGAAGATAGGCATGATGTCCGACGTTTCGCTGTACGTGCTGGGAGCTTCTCGCGGAGCTGGTTTTTTCCGCGTCACTCCGACAGCTCTCTAAGAATCTCCCGGCTCGTGCGGCCAAATGTTGGAACGACGTGTGGCGCAGCCGGAAAACTCGTTGGAGAGCCGTGTGGCACACAAATGCGAGGTCGCGCGCGGCCGCTCATCGTGTGGCCGGCTGAGAACGCCCCACTCGTTCGCAAAGATGTATCCACGACAGTGATTTACTGATTAAATAGTAAAAAAAACCGCGAGCTCGTGATTGTTGCCAACGGATCGTGCATTCAAGAGGAGACCACAGGTGACCTCCGCACTTACGACCTAATCGGTTCCTGGACGTCGGTCGTAAGCCGAATCCTGATTTCCCATAGG